TGAATAGTCTTCAGGCTTTAGCTGAGCTTTAATTTCCGACGCAGTTTTGTTGAGCCACTAGTCCATGATGGGGAATATAAACAATATATTTAACTCTTAATGGTCATAGCTACTTTTAATTTCAGGAATCATACAGATTTTTAAAGTACGCTGGTACGATTTTTATCTTATTAAATTGCTGTTCAATATCTATTTTAGTAAACATTAACTGGGGTAGTAAAACCCAGTTCCCAACCAACCAATCATCTCCAGCTCTATCCCGACCCTGGCAATGAGATAGGGGGGTTATTTGAGGTATCTGGCATAGCAAACGAAGCGGCATGCGCATTCACAATACAAAAAAAGCCACAATGGATAATGAAAGGTATATTTACACTCTCTTCCTATACCCCCCTATATAATACCGGGCCTCTTGCGAGAGTGACAAAAAGTGCACAGTTAAAAGAAATCCCTGTGAGAAATCGCATTTCTTGCATAACTGGGTCTAATTATAGAGGTAAATAAGAGGTCCGGTACATTCAGATACCCGGTATAGATTGGCAAGATTGACGGTACAGAGGTTTTGATCATTGAAATCAATAAAATGATAGTACAGCAGGTAAAATCGGTTCGATCTTAAATGGTCCTTTTGTGCTGTTTCTTTATGTGGAATTTGATAAAGCTGTATTGTAATTAGTTATGAAACTCTAATATTGTGTGGTTAACCTTTTTCAGGTTCAGCCCTTTCCGCTAAGCTATTCCTAATTACTAAAATATCAAATATGTCGAGATTTACTGAACTCCAACTTCAAATATTGATGATTTTAGTATTCCCCAATCTAAAAATCTTCGAAGTTTTTCTGCAAAGCATTTTTATCCACGTTTCATGCAATTTGATCACTTTTGGCGGAAAAAATATTTTAAAATTTTCAAACTTTTTTCCAAGTCTCGAAAAAAATTTTTAAGTGAACAATTTTTGAAGTTTTTCTAAAAACTACATTTCTCCGTGTTTCAAACGATTTCGATCATTTTGAGCCAATAAAAAATTTTCACTTTTTTTGGTGATTAACTAATTGGTAATTATCCAATTAGCTGATTGTCAAATGTCAAAATTTTTCATACAAAAGTTTTACTCCTTGATAAGATAAACATTCTAGGTTAATTTGCAGCCTTCTACGACGTTCACAACTAAAGATATTTGGCAAACCAGAAAGGTGGTACAAAGGTGGTAAAAAGTGGTAAAAGTGGTGTTTCTGTTGAGATACAAAATTGGCAACAAGTCTAATTATGTTCGTAGGGGTCCTAACTACCATATTCCGTTGAGAAATCCTTGTGAACATTCAAATCCAACGGAATGCCACTTTTCCCCTTACTAACACTATGCGTGCCACGTACTAATTGGGCGTATTACCTAATAGTAATATTATACATTACATGCATCATATACATTAAAACACAGTCGCGCCGCGCATTCATAGATCACAGGCTATCTATACATCACATCTCCGCAAGCAATCCTCGCGCGCGCGCAACTTTTTCGTTGCATGGTAACAGACGGAATGACATCATATTCAGACCCGCCTACTGCTATCTCCAAAATCCACGTTTTTCTGCAAAAACCTCCATTCGTAACCTTTCACTATTGCCTTTTTTCAAAAGGGTGAAAAGGAAAAAATTTGTACTCATAATTGATAGTTAAAGCGTTTTTTTTTCTTTTTTTCCCCCAGCACTACTACACAACAAAAACCTGTCGGCCCACCGAGGAAACACAGTCGCAGAACAAGAAACCCAATTGTGCTCCTCTATTCTGCGATCGTGTGTATTTACTATAAACTAGCTAAATGCAGTTAGTAAAATTTTCTGGAATCATTAAAGTCGTTTGATTAGTTTTATAAAGCGGTAAGTTATTTTATAAACATACAAAGTTTGTTTAAGTGCGTTATTTCCCCCGCGCTAGTCCTTCCGTTGATTAATTATTTAAACGTGAACAATTTTCAATTTTTAATCACGCATGTAATATTGATTTTGGAGGACTTCGCCGCTTCGACGCGCCGCGCGAACTAGCATTCTTGCTTCGCATCGTTGATCGTTGAACGTCGAGCAACGATCTCAATGGTGAATGGGTTGACATCGTCAATCAATATTGATTTTGATCTTACCAGAGCCTTACAGTGGCGCGCGCCCACCGCGAAAATTACTTAGGGACCTTGTAGGTTTACAACCTACCAAAACGCTTGGAGGACTTCGCCGCTTCGACGCGCCGCGCGAACTAGCATTCTTGCTTCGCATCGTCAATCGTTGCTCTGCTTCGCAGAGCAACGATCTCGATGGGTTGACATCGTCAACCAACCAAAACGCTTGCCGAGTTGGACTCGTCGACGGTCCTGTATATGGAACAAATATTTTACGAGTATCACCCGTTAATTAGGGACACAAGCTATTATGTTCATAAACATAGTAGAATAGAGATTCGGCGGAATGATAGGTTGAGCGTTGATTCACGATGTCAATCCTTCACAGCTCGGTGAGGCACAGTGGTGCATCTCGCCGATCTACCAAAGTGTGCGGGAAGAATTATTTGATGCGCGGCGCGACCCAGTAGTGCATCGCGCTACAAGGTTGAGCGCTGCCAAGTAAGCCGAAATTCGAAACAAACGCGTCACGTAGTACGTTAAGGCCTTACTCTAACCAAAGCTCTTTCGCTTGCAGCAGTGTGCGACCGTTGAATGCGGCACAGGATGAGGTAAAAGATCGATCATTGGCATTTTGGATTTGTAAAGGTACCTACGTCCTACCCCAAGCGATGTGATCGATTACACTATTATATCAACAATTTCACTTTACTGCCCGGAAAGACCTTTTATCAGTATTGGCAGTTAAACATCAGGTCATGTTTTCAAAATCCGAGGCACCAATTAATAAATGGGTTTTGTCTTTTGATGAGCCCAATAATACAAATTTGGATTTTGTAATCAGTGTGTATCGACTAATGAAACACTTGCAGTGAAATTCTAAAGACTTAAAAAGCCTAATTAAAATCTGCTGACATCAATTTGTATCCTAACATTAATCATTGCATAATGTGTACGTACCATCATTCAATTTATTAAGTCCTTGTAATAGTCACCAGCATAAAAAACTAGAAGTTTTAAGAAAACAGCAAATTTTATCAATCAATCGTAGCAATAATGGACTTGGATGTTAAAATTCTCAAGTAATTTGTTGTATGGTAGTGGAAAGGGTCATTTAAACCCCTTGTCTTGACAATAGGAAATTCAGGACCAAGCTGCACCTTAGTCATAACGAGGGTGGCAACCAAAATATGGGACAAAACATGGAGTAATATGCTCATGTGATAGGTATTTTAATCTAACAAGACCTCGCTTCTCTCTACTTCGGAGTGTCTTTATAGCCGTTTAAGATGTCAGGGGAAAAGCTGTTAATGAAATTTATGTTTTGTTCATCCCTTTCAACCTTATTCCATTATGTGTATTTATTGATTATTGACATAATTCTTGGTACTAAACCTACATTGATTGGATATTCCGTGCAGAACTTGATATTTGTTTAGGGAAATTGATAAAAATATAAAGATTCTGACTAATTTGATTTAATTTATTGTATATATATACTGTTTGACATTTCTTTTTTTTGTTACCAAAAAATTTGATAGCAATCGACCATTTTCGTTACCAAAGTGCTGTGCTCTGCCAATTAGGTCACATATGATTTTATTGAATGTAACATTTTTCACTATCATTATCAGATGGTTGCTGTCAAGATCAAAAACATTCAGTGTTAAAAGAAAGGAATTGTAACATTATTCTGATTTAGCTAGCTGCAAGTTATGTTCCTGTCAATTGGGTAACTAAAGTCATACTTAATCTCACAACTTACCTTCAACCCAGAAGTCAGAATATGACATGAAAAGGCAAATTGTTGTACGATTACACAACACATTTGCTAAGCAAATACCTTCTGCTGCTAAATTGCAAGTTGATACTGAACTAAGAAAAGACTGTGATTACGTAAGCCCAGCTGACAGAGTATCGAATATCAGACGAATCAGGTATTGTATTGTGAATTTTTGAATCTGATGAAATTAAAGATCTAATAATTTATTTAAATTTATTTAGAAGTATTTGAATTCATTGATTTAATTTACCACTATGTGTTTGTCAATCAGCTGTATATCACTCTATCAGGTATGGTAAGAGACAAGATGAGACGGCAGAGGAAATGTCATTGAGACTGTACGCTACAGAGCTGCATGAGTGGAATCACAGGCACTGGCAAAAACAGAACTTTTCTTATTCTAGCATAAAGCAGCGATTGCTTGATGAGGTTCGTTGAAGTACACACAAGTGGACTGTGATAGGAAATCTTATGGATTTTCTATACAGTAATTTTAAATCTGTAGCCATCACATATGGCTTACTTAAAACCTAATGTATTTTTTACAATATTATTTGAATTTTGTCACTGCAAAAACATATATATCTAATATACCAGATTGAAGAAAACGACATAGAAGATGAACAAGAGATTGAGCGAATCATGGAGGAATTCTACAGGACATATCTCTTGTCAAATAAAGACAACTTTAACACATACACAGAAGAATGGCGTAAAGCAAATATAAAACTAATATATATGTCTCTTCGTGCTAAGAAATCCAGGGTTTCAAAATCTGTCAGAGATATATTTTCTAGATGAAATGAATGACGATTGAAGAGCAATCTCTTGAAAATTTTGCCAAGTGCAAGTGGGCATTATAAAATTGAAAATATGAAAGGTGGGGTACCTCCAATTTAATCCTAAATTTTGCTTGGTTGTGCAAAGATACAAGAGCTAACTAAATTGTTTTTATAATGAATATGAAAGTTTGTACATGTCTATGTATTTATTTGTATTACTCAATTAAAAATAAAATAAAATCTGTGAACTTCTTCAAGTCAGTTTTATTATAAAATCAAAACAAGATCTTTCATAACCTCTGAAGTAAGTTTTAATTGGTTTAGGTGATGGCTCAGCACCAGTCAGCTGCAATCCAAGTTTCCTGCTGGACCAAGGTGAAAACTGGTGCCATGATGGGCGCTGCACTGGGTTGTGGAGTGGGACTCATGTTTGGTAGCTTTGTTGGTATCAGGTTAGCTGAAAATTCACTGAATACCTGTTTTTCTAAATATAAACTAGTGTTTTATAACAGTCATAGTTATGGTGAAGATATTCACTATTGAATGTACCAATCTGAAGCTTCATGAAATCCTGATAAGAATAAGCCTTTATATTTAATTTTATTTAAATTCTACTTCTTACTATTATATATTATATTGATATCCTGAAATGTAATAGCAGATCTTGTTCAGGGGTGGTCTAAGAGGCAAGAAGCTTATCAATGAGTTGGGCTCAACAATGTTGCAATCAGGAGGCACCTTTGGGACGTTCCTCGCTATTGGATCAGCAATCAGATGCTAAAATTTTCAAAAATTCTTCGTATTCTTTTAATTTTCCACAGACAAGTCTAAATCGATTTGATTACTCCTGCTTAATAAATGTATGTCACAAAAACTGTTCAATGATTTTCAAGGGAACTTAGGCTTCTAAATTTTGTAAATGTCTTTTATTAATTTATTTATAGTCAGGTTTTTGAACTTAAGTTTCACTTTCTCCAATGTCTCCAATCTTTAAGCGAAAGAGTGCTGGAAATATTTTTAAATACCAGTATACCGTAAGATAACCATTTCCCAGAATGCTTCTAAGAAGTATCATATAATATAACTAAATTAAGTATTAATGGGTATATATTACAAAAATACAAGAGTCAAAACCCGGTCAAAGTAGCACCCTCCAATTACATGATCAATGACACATTCACATGTCAAACTTTTCAATCATAAGTTAACACGTGATTTTTCAAACTTCTACTGATGCTTGATTTCACCTGTTTGACATTGTCAGTAAGCAGGCACATTACATCCAGTATTATAATAACTGTTTAATAACAAACGCAAATTTGAAGACTTTTATCCCACCAATAGTAAACAACATGACAAGACTAGACATGGAGCACCACATGTTCCTTCAAACCCTAGCTGCAAGGAGGATAGTATCCGAGAGAGAAGCACACGAACTATTGATCAAGTGCTTCGAACTTGCAGGTTACATAGGGTTAGGTTTTGTTGTTTAAAAGAAACTTCAGTTATACCACTGTCTGTTTCTTACTGTATGAAGATCTTTAAGATTTTTACTCCCATATTTCATTTAATTTGCACATTTATAGTTTAAAACTCTATATTTTGATTGAAATGACTAAATCTCACAGGTTTGAACAACCCCAACACCCAGACTCAACTACAAGACCACATAACCAGAATAAACTCACAACTATCAGCTTTGTTTCTGGAGATAAGAAAAGGAACCTGCGAGAACAGCGGCACTAAATATTACTGCTTTGTTAACAACCAAGAGGACGAGATCTCTAAACTCTGCTCCAACTATGCACCCCTAGACTTTGCGTACTTCCGTAAAATAATCGAACAGATGATATTATCGGACGAGGGCTGTGTCCAGAGCACAGATTCTCTGACTCTATGTAATAGTCTTCCTGAACAGAAAAAGATGACCTATGTCCACGCCAAGGCTCTGTTGCGTGGGTGGTGCAGTGAGCGGTGGCTTATTGAGGACCGCAGTAACAATTCATTCTTGCTAGGTCCCCGGGCACTCATTGAGCTAGGACAGTACATTCAGTCAGCTTATGGTGAGCATGTAACGAGCTGTAGCTTGTGTAGAACTATCTGCATCTACGGTACAAGGTGTGAAGATTGTAATACCAAGTTCCACTTCCACTGTAAGACGAAACTTGCAGCAAGTTTGGATCAGCTGAGGTGTCCAAGCTGCAAAGCTGAGTGGTCGTAAAGTGTGAGAGTGGTGCTCGTTAAGGTATGCAGATAACGTGACAGGGTGTTACATTTTTAGATTTTTAAACTTTTGATTTATTTCAAATTTGTTATTTTGTTTACTTCACAATGGGTGATCAAGAAAGCAGAAAGTTTTTTTACCATTTTAAAAGTTTTCTATAATCACTACCATTTGCAAGACCCATTACCCTTTCCCAGGCATGTCGGCATTTTTATCGACGTTATTTTAACATTTTTTGACGTGAAAATAATAATATTTATTCAGTTTAATTGTGCTAGGTGTAAATGATCAGTGCCTTAAATTGTTTAATTGTGCTAGGTGTAAATGATCAGTGCCTTAAATTGTTTTTTTGGTTTAATTAGCACTTGTTCTCATGTAAGGTTCATTAGTCTTTATTTCATTTGTTATCACCATAAAAGGCGGATTTGTTTCATATAATAAAATAATAGTTATATTTCGTTATTTTAAATAGCTGTCCACATTTTGTTTTGAGTCTTTAAAAGCAGCTCAGTAATTTACATACTGCAGCTTTATAATGGTCAGTGAACAGCGCGAGCGAGCAGTCGCTAGCACTAAGTATCCAAATGTTATGTTATGTTAATTTTAATTCGTAACCATTGGTAATCAAATTGTGTATTACTTTGGGTACTTTACAATTCGCAAGTGCTTTATAATTTTACATGTGCAGTGTTTAATTGGGTGTGTTCCAATTTAATCATATATGCCTATTTTACGACTACCTTACTCGGGAATATTATAGCGGGTTAATTTATGACTGGGAAAATTAATGACCGGGAAAAATATGGCGGAATGTTCCAAAACCCACCAAGCATCAAAATGTATTACTATTAGTTTACCTTACTCGGGAACATTATAGCGGGTTAATTTATGACTGGGAAAATTAATGACCGGGAAAAATATGGCGGAATTTTCCAAAACCCACCACTTTATCCCAGTCATAATATTCCCGAGTAAGGTATTAATTGTAAACAAATTTTAATTTAATTTAAATAGAGCTACCTAAAGATAACTAAAATACTGATCATCGCTTAGTAAATTCTAGAAAACATCAGATTCTTTTACAGTCGATTCTTTATATTCATTTCTTTACGGTTCTTTACAATCCAAACTACGGTGCCCAATGCAGATATGTAGTAATATTATTATGGTTACTAGTTATTACCTTGGCACTAAACCCTTAACTAAACCCTTAACCATAGCTCGGGAGGATGGATACGAAGAAGTTGTATCGAATGTTCCATGATTGTTACGAGGAGAAGATAAAGGTGGACGAAGTGATCACTTTCGTCCGGAGTAACGCAACTAATGTTGAGCAACAGGTAATGTCACGTGGTCTTATCACGTGGTCTTATCACGTGGTCTTATCACGTGGTCTTATCACGTGTTTATAATTTGTTAGAACCTTGAGATGGCCAGTACTATGATTACGGAAATTGGCTATCCTTTTCAGTTTCAGAGCTCTCGGCCTCTTCAACTTGATTGTTTTTAAGTGAAAATAAAGATCACGTGCCGACCAATTACCCACAGTTACATCCACCTTTTTATCTGTCTATCATTTAAAAATTTAAACTATTCTAAATATTCGTAATCAATAATCATTACACCATTCTCTGCTTCACAGACCGACCTTGTTGACATGTTTGCCGTGCTGGACATAGAATCCGCCACCAAGGAGGACGTTAAGGATCGCGAGATATTTATCAAGGTGTTGGAGTCCGTTACAAAACACATCAAACACGACATCCTTAAAGAGCGGCTGGAATATGACACTCTGGAGCGGGTAAAGCTTATCAGCAACAGCAAACAGTTCAACACAAAGTTAGTTAGAGAAACTGTGCTGCTGGTTTTGTGCAAGTTCTCGTAAAGCTTGAATACTTGAGTTTTTGTTTGAAACGGCGTTTTATTTACCAGCACTTGAACACAGCCTAACGATTTTTCCCTGTAAATTTACGTCAATGCATTTGACTATCTCACATTAGAGTTGTATAAAATTTGCATTTTTCATCCCCCATACTATTAAACCACGTGATACTCGCTAAACCACGTGATACCCTCTAAACCACGTGATACCCGCTAAACCACGTGATACCCTCTAAACCACGTGATACCCGCTAAACCACGTGATACCCTCTAAAGCTCTAAACCACGTGATACCCTCTAAAGCGCTTAACCACGTAAAACCCTCTAAACCACGTGATACCCGCTAAACCACGTGATACCCTCTAAACCACGTGATACCCGCTAAACCACGTGATACCCGCTAAACCACGTGATACCCTCTAAACCACGTGATACCCGCTAAACCACGTGATACCCTCTAAAGCTCTAAACCACGTGATACCCTCTAAAGCTCTAAACCACGTGAAACCCTCTAAACCACGTGATACCCGCTAAACCACGTGATACCCTCTAAACCACGCGATACCCGCTATACCCTCAAAACCACGTGATACTCGCTAAACCACGTGATACTCGCTAAACCACGTGATACCCGCTAAACCACGTGATACCCTTTAAACCACGTGATACCCTTTAAACCACGTGATACCCGCTAAACCACGTGATACCAGGTACGTGAGAACTAGAACGAAGTTGTTCTACAAGCAGCAGAAGTTTAACTTGTTACGAGAGGAGAATGAGGGGTATAACAAGTTGATCATGGAGCTGGCTAACCCTCCCTCAGATGCACAGACAATGATAGATCACCTTCTCAAGCTTATTGGCAGGTAACTGGTCATTTAATTTAACGTTTAAACGTATTAATTAATTGTCGCTTATAATTTATGTTAGTTACTTATTGTTGGTGGGACTAGATATCATATTATGTGCATTTTGAACAATGGACAATGAAAATCCTCATGCCAGCAGAAACTGACATTGATTAAAATCGTGTCCCCAGGTTTGATCTGGATCCTAACAGAGTGTTAGACTTGGTACTAGAAACCTGGCAGAACTACTTGGATAAGAGCGAGTTCTTCTTGCAGCTCGTCAAACTCTTCCCCAAACAGGACGACGCTCTTTGTAGAATGCTTGGTTACAGCTTCGCTTTCTACGAGGTTTTTTTTTCTTTCCAGGAATTTTACTTTTATCAGTTTATGTTTTGTTAGTTATTATAGCATTTATTCTTGAACATCGAACTTGAAAGTATTCATTACCAATAGTTATAGTTTCAAATTTTGCTTCTTTGAGAAGTATTTTGTAAAGCTGCTGAGTGCTGTGGCTTTTGGTTCCTGATCTTTTGTCGATATTTGCCATCTAACTGGATACCTATACGAAACTCGTAAGAAAGAATATCTATTTTAAATTTGATATCTTACAAATGATGAGATTATATACAATTAACTACACAGTACATCCCAGAACGAGCCGGACGGCACACCAGAGTCCCTGTTCAAAGTGGGCGCGCTGCTCATAAAGCGCGGAATCATTGATCTGCACGTGCTGTACTCACACCTGGGACCGAGTTACGACCAGATGAAAACAGAGTACAACAAGCGGCTTAGTGACGCTAGAGAGAAGGTTAGTTAACATAGCTCCACCTAAAATGGTTTAATCTTCATTGTTCAAGTTCCCTCATCAACTTCAGTACTGGATCCCGGTCTTCAGCCGGTTTCCAGAAGTCAATATATCGTGGTCTAACAATCTACTATTTAACTAATTCCCATCCTTTTCTAGGCGAAATCCTTGGTGACAGTGTCGTTGAACAAAGACGACGCAGAGGAGAACAGTGACTCCAAGTCGTCGAGCAGCAAGAAGGCAGGTGTAGCAGAGGTAGCAACGACATTACAACTACAGATTTCAAGATTAAGAGCACCTCTATCTGAAAATGTATCACTAATTTACAAAATTTTTTTTATACAAAACAATAAATAAGTATGCACACAGTTATACAAACAGTTATATTCCAGTCAAATGGACTATGAAGTGGAAAACAATCTGACTCACTGGTAAAAATCTGTCTTCAATAGGACACACTTTCAGTTTGACACTGCTATGAAGACGCTGTAGTAATGTTTTCGGGCATGCGCTTGCGAACTTTGAATGAGATTAGGATAATACAAACATGCTTGAATAAGAATGATAAAGGATTGGGATATTAAGTAGAATGAAGCATGATGAGCCCGTCTCTGAAACCACAGAGTTTAACACTTCCACGAAACAGTTACGGAAAGAAGGATCATTGAAGACGGACCAGCTGTAGCGATGGACACTAGTGTAAAACTGAAACAGGTTTTAGTCAGAGAACATTCAGTGAGGCAGTGTTAGTGTTAATGAACATGCTTCCCCCTGTAACTCCTTATTCGCTCGTCGACTCTATGACAGTTCATATCTTCAAAAGCTTTTACTATTTGTTTCATGTGAACCACAGGAATAATTTTCCTTAAAACTTCCTCTAGACATAGAGAGTTATAAAGATTTGTGAAAATATGATCCAGACTTATTTTTGCATTTATAATCTTGAGAATTGACCACATATAATGACTCTAATACACCTTAACATTTTCAGATCATAACTATGTAGAGACCTGACGTGTTAACAGAAGGCTCAATAAGTTTCTACTAGTTTAGGGGATCTGGTACAGAGGTATATCAATAGGAGCATGAGGTGTACTCAATTTGTACATATTTGTGTACTTATTGAGTTTACAAAATTGTGTTACATATTGAGTACATTGTGTACTTATATGTTACATTAGTACTTATTGTGTACATTGTGTACATATTGTGTATTGATGTAAAAAAAAAATATAGTTTTACGGGGAGCGTCTTCTATGGCCACGTTTTTCAGGTCAACTTTGTTTCACTAACAAATCAATCCAGACTTTTTTTGAGTGGCAGTTGATCGTTCATAAACTTGTCCCCTGAACTAATCCAAACATTTTTATCAAAGACCCTTATAATATTATTCAAAGGGAACACCTTTGAAACACTTTACCAGGACAGCATATAATTTTGAGTCGAGACTAACAATCCCTAAGGCTGGCGTAAGATCAATCTAATAATTATAAATGTTGCATAAATGAAACATTGAATAGGCAAGCAGAAGTCGAGTCCCTATTTAATTAGGAATTTTGAGTCGGTTTACTGAAGTTAAGAACTAACGTTCTTCTCCTGTCTAGACAGCTGCAATGGCGCCTGGCTCTGGTAATTATTGGATTGTAATTACCAGGCTCCAATAATTGTAGAACAATTACAGGTTACTGTGAACTAATTTTTTTAGTGGTAATTAACATGTGAACCATGACGTGTCTCCCCAACTGGCTAACTCACAATCTATACTAACGCAATTACTTCTATTACTCCGGAACTGAAGATGAAATACTACAAAGGTTGGTCCGGACATGCGTTGTCTGATTAAAATCTTAGACTGACATGTCTCTCCGGAATCGCGATGCATAGGAATCATTCCTTATCGTATGCAACTTACCCTACATATTATATTAGTTAGTCTATAATTTGAAAGAAAAATCCGAACTGTTTGACCTATTTGTTTAGATTTTAAAACGGCCATTCAGAATTTGGACACGAGTCTTTAAACACCCTGTAATTATTATCGCGAGGAATAGCCACTAATAGTAAAACCCCTCATTACAGGTAGTTACACTGTGTATCATGAATGGAGCTAGGATCCAGTCACCAACACCCCTCTCTGATTCAGAGACAAATTGAAGTCTCATCATTCGCTAGTTACTCATTGTTTGTGTCGAGATAGCTCAAATCATGGCGGATCTCACTCATGCATTCTTATTCAGATTCAATAGCGATTCGATTTTATCAGTATGACTATATTGAAATCAGGAACTAGTTTATGGCAAATATCACTTTATCCTTTCGCTCTAGATATCTGAAGTCGAACCAAATATGTTTGATTTGTGACAGTGATAATGGGTTTTGATTGGCTAATCGCTGTCCCGACGCATCAGAAAAATATGGTTCGCCACCCCGTCTATGGAACACCGAGTAGAAAGTGATTCATTATGGATGTCCAGTATTGAATGTTTTGATTTATATTAATTAAGGCCAAGCTGACAGTGAAAACCAAGACGATTGCTGGTTTATTGTATACTTTGTAATTGTAGCCTTTTAATTTGTAAGCACGCATAAAAGGTGATTGTTAATTTTAAAATGATAATTTTAAGAATAATATTATTATTCCATAAATTAATTTATTTTTAGGGCTAGGGTATTTACTGTACCTTTTTTTAGAATTCCACCCGAAGAGTTCATCGTTATTAGAATAGTATTCCTGTATTTATGTAACTTGTACATAACCGTCCCCACTTTATCATACGATAACATTATGTAAAATATTTCTTATGTTATGGTTGAGTTAATTTGGGTTGTGGAAAAACTCTGAATCTGCATACAGCTTATGGATCATGTTTAGAACATTATCCTATATTTATCCGAGCTTGAAATCATTGTAAAAAGTTATTGTTGAAAACCATGTATTAAAAATCACTGTCATGGAAAGCAATTGTTTTGAATTTTTCTTACTTACGACTCAAAACATTTTTAAACAATGCCTCCTCGAGGTGGGCAATTTCCCTTATATATTCGAAAATAAATTGACGGTAAGCCGGAACGATAAGCAATCTAGAAACATAACTCCTCACCTGCCCAAAGATCTCATGAGATATCATTAATATATAGTCCACCGTGCTTGGTTTTTTTTTGTCTTTACCTCCCAACGTCCTTCTTTTTTCCCTTACATATTAAGCATGAATCACAAATCCTAAATAAACGATTGTACCCAAAATCCTTGATGTCTACTGGCATTCAATTATTATTATTTATTTCTCATGATCCATCAGCCTAGGACTTTAATCCTCAGCTCTTAGGGCTAAGCGTCACGTCACTGTAGCCTGAACAGTGAACACTGAAGCTCACTGTGATACAACTACTAGGTCATGAGGCACGATGCTCTGGCTGTTGTACAATGTGCAATAACATTCCTGGTGCAACACTTACGTCTTGCATAAGTCAAGAGGTTTAAAATTTTGCGCCCAAGGGTCCTGGGATACTAGATCTGAAGCAGGAACGAAGTGAATCGATTTGAGTAAGCAACTTGTAAATGTCTTAGCGCACTCTTGCGTTTAAAACAAAGGACTCATGTAGATGCGACATTTAAATATCCAATGATACGGATTAAGCAAGATAATAGAAATAAAAAATTAACTGACGCTGCCTAGCTATATTTTAAGAATATTAGGTCATATATATATCCGTCTTATCTTTGCATTTTGCTTGTCATTTTCGCTCCAACGAACTGCCCTTTCTTCACCAATTCCGTTTTTAAATCCTTAAATCCAGAATCATTGGAAACAACTTCAATTTTCAAATACTAATGTATCCTGGCAAGCTAACGGACAGTAATTGTACAAACAGAGGGATCCCGCAATACCTTTTTAAGAGAGCTGAACCTAGACCGCCCACAATTGGATAGCATGCGGGGTTGCGGTTCCCGAATTGTAGGTTCAAGAAAATGGTTGTAGGGGCGCCAAAAACTTTCGGGGGCGGGGGCGACCTTAAATGTTAACGTAAAACTTAAACACTGCTCTCGGACGGCATAGGTACAGTTGTCTCCGAGTGCTTCTTGTCAAACAATTTTAGTTTACAACCTTGTTTGTAGTTAACATAGCAGAATTGTTTATTAATCCTTTTGATGGTTCCGCCTGGTTGCGTATTTTGCACACTGCATTTACCTATATTATATGTAGTATATTGCCAAAGACCGCTGTATCTCCATTTAGTTATTTCACTTATACCCACCACAATGAAATGACAAATATCCCCTCCCACAACTGTAAAAAAACAGAACACTCAACCCAGACCCACCTCTGTCAAAATGAGGATGGTACCGGTATAATGACTTAGGTTGAAAACACCAAACGCTGTGTTGGTGCCCAACATTCCTGTTGCCACGATTTTAATCCGATCAGCTGTTCAGCTGCAAAAAGTCACATAACTGAGCGATGAGGTGCCTGGACATTTGATCAGACCGTACTCGTCACCACCCAAAGTAGTGACCATTGTGCAGCCCCCTGTATATAATCTAGTTGTCAAGTTAGGGTGCTTTTTCTACTCCAAATTATGCGATTCGATAAAATTAATCAATAGGTTATGGCTCCTTAGTAGCATGAAAGTGACCATGACACATAAACAGTTCTCATAAATAAGCAAAAAGTTAGAGCTATAGTTTTTTATCGATTATAAATGCGAGAGCGCCATTAATGTGGACAGCTTGCTCCATTACGTGAGCCGTTACTTTTGAGACAGGCCCCGTACGATCTTTTTATTGAATAAGATAGTCCGAGTCGACCCCGCCAAATTAAGCCAATAACATCAATTGGCCGATTTTTATCCAAATTGTCTGAGTCATATCTGTGATAACTCCTGACTGTGATCCAGATACAGCCGTATTTGGCTCTAACGATATCTAAATTTAAAAGTTGTTTTTATTAGGCATGTTACGGAAATATGAGTCATTAGAGACAAATAAAATGGTTGTTATCATCTCTTCTCCGCGCTAATACACTGTGAGTTATAACTTATAACACTAAATTAGCATCATTCTATTTTACTGCTATGTTTATATCATATCTAGACTATTATTATACCCCTGGGAGTGGATATATAATATTGAATATTATGAGCATTGGAAGTAAGACTATTGACTAATTCTTTTAATTTTCGATCTGATCTGCCCAAGCAAAACCGGCCAGCCATGCCCAACCAATCTCATATGATGTTAGAGTTAAGTAGTATTATAACCGCCTAACCCGTAAAATTATACCCAGATATCGATATTTATCATTATTAGGCCCGTTAACCGACTCAGCTCCTGCTGCTTCGTTATCAGTGGGCAGCAAGTTATTAATTAGATTATTTATCTGAGTACACTGCGGCGTTTAATACTTATTACTTCCATGGAAACTGTTCTGCCCATCCCTAACTAAGTATATCATTCAAGAACAATAACTATTTAATAATACATAGAAAAATTATTTAATTAGTCGTACTATAGGTATTATAAATATATATTTATAACATTCAACATTGCAAGTAGTTAACCGATGAACCTAATCGCACTCTGTTCACGAGTCCATTATAAACGCTAACGAGCAGCTGTCCATTGGCTTTTTATCGGTCTAGTCAACCAATGCATCTGTAACGTAATTATAGTCGATAATTTTTTTAACGATTAATCCTATTTAGCCATTATATCAAGTTTTAAAGACATAAGCGACTTCTATTTTCCTGCTAACACCATAAAGTGAAAGCACCATGCAATATATGCTATAATTTATAACTTCATTAGCTTAATTGAAATGTATGGCGAACTGGCAAACAGCAGGGAACATTTTAGTTTTCTTGAAGCAGCCCATCTGATTTTTTGGATATTTTTTTAGAGGGTTTCGTCCGAATTCATTTCGATCACTCTGACGACATGCATCTAAGCAGGAAATCACAATATTAAACCCAGTCTTTAGGACCTTAAAAACTGTTTTATCGGTTACAGTAAAAATAGCCCCAGAGTTTTAATATAGGTAGCCACTTCTTGTCACAACCATGTTGTTCATAATAGACAACCCTTCAAATTCTTTCCAGAGTTTTGTAAACAAGTTATTGATCATATTATTTAAATTGTTGAAGCATAAAATGAAAGAGCAACAAAGTTGCCAATTTTTGAAACAAATGATAATTTCTCCTGCCAAAATTGTATGAGAAATGATTATGAAGTTGGTCTGAATATTTCAATTAATTCAATTTGTCGGAGAAATTAAAATATTATGACGTAATTTAAGAAGAGTTTCAGTTTAAAGCAATGTCTAAAACTAAATATTCACACCTGAACCTGTGGGTGTCTGCAACAGCTGCACATGTCATGCTTCTACTTGACCTTTCTATCCTCCGCAGCTCTTTGTCTCGACTCTCGAGACTCCATTTCCTCCGCACGTAGTAGCACCAACCGCAACCCTCACGTTAGTTTATCGCTACATATACTATTTATGTGCGATGCTCATAGTCACGTGGATATAATAATCTCATCACGTGTTATCATAAGCCGCGGAGGAAAGGACCTGTGATCGGTGGACATAGAATCAGACAAAACCTTCTTTGTTTTTAACTCTATCTGACGTTTATAATGGTTTTAGACTTTTTCTAATGGTTTTAGAGACTTTTGGACGCGAAGGTGTTAATACTTATACAATGTACAATATACAACTCATGATGACCTGGACATGTGGTATATTGGTCGTACCATTTCGCGCCTTTCTCTACTAGTACTTGAAAAACCATTGATCCATCAATCACAATGTCCATTATTATATAAGGTTTTAGTGTTAACTTTAACTTAAAAAATTAGCTGCTGTGTTAAAATCAGCATTAAATTAAAGGTTCATTCTTAAGGCTGTGTTAACATCTCTGATATGATAACTGCGATAGACCAATATTAAAACACGCTTGAATCCAAATCCTGAAGAATCACGGTCAAGGTCAATACGCAAATCTGTGTCGAAATAATCCGCGCGAACGCGCGTTATCAATTGACCTAACCATCGTTATTCGTTAATCACCTATCTTTGAAAAGCTTAGTTTGTTTTTACCGAAGTCCATGACGCCTCCACAAAGCGCCTGATTGGTCAAGACAAAATCGCCTCTGAACAAAGCTTTGTGTGGAGCTGAAGAGGTCTTTTCTACTAATTTTCACTACATCTATATTATATTTTAAACTTGACGAAATTTCCCCGGCAACGGGGACATAGAAGAAAAAACACCGAAAATCGACCTCAAAATGACCCTCTGGTGATGCCAAACCCAGCTCCCAAATGGAGTTGAAACCTCGCCATTTTTAGCAGGGTTGTAGAAAAAGGATAGGAATAGGCTATAGCATTCTTAGAATTTTGATTTAGGCTTTAGATTTTTTATAATTAACGTCGGAAGTGAGGTAAAATAACCGTTAGAATAATGTCGTTATTTTAGCAAAGGTTTACTGCGCTGTTGCGTAGCAACGTTAAAATGCACGTGCGCGAGCAATAACATCTTAACTACGCGTGTTGTTATGCTGTATGCTACGTCATAACTTCAAAACTAGCTCACATTTACGCTCACGCTATGACTTATATTCATAACTTTGGTTGTGATTGGTATTTTTTGATGCGGTAAAAAGTATCGTTTTGGGAATCCGAATACTAACAACGCTGTCTTCATTGTTAGATAAATTTCATTATGTCTACTGTATTATAACAGAGCTGTATGATGAAGAGAAATTAAAACATAACTGATTTTTAAAATTTCCTCGAACAAAGCTTTCGACTAGCGGGTTTCTAGTATTATATATTTTACAGATGATACCAGGCATCAAAACCCGGGTTTAATGACGACTATTAAAGTGCAAGTTGGCTGGTGATGCAAAGCTTAAACGGGAGCAGCATAAGGATGAAGGAAGAACTGAACTGTAACAGTTTAACAGAGATAACTTTTTGTAGTGATCTTTATCGAGCTCAACCTGCAATGGCGACAACTACAAGATGATTTATATCCATGAAAAGACTTACCTAGTTTGCTAGTTTATTGCTCGCTTCTCTCGCGTATAGCTCCTTTTTCTCACGCAAGCTTCCTTATTCCTGTTCAGGAAGCTTGAAAACAGCTCCGCGCACAGGGAATGGCATGCTAGGTAATGAAAAGACGGGCAATATTGAATATTCATACTATCATACGACAGAAAAATAACCAACAAGATTAATGAATTGCGAACTCGTTATACTAAAACTGTGGCGAAAATATCTAAAATACTGCATATTTTTTCGTTTAATTAATTATCATTATGGAACGGAAATAATAATAATATAGCATATCTTTTACTTTAGATTAATTATCATTTAGAGTAATACCACTGCTATTGCATGGCTCTGGCAACATATCAAAAGCCGACGACTCCGTTATATATCATTAAAACTTATAACCACAAATAGCGTTTTAAAGACTCAAGTTTAAAGAAGTGGAAATAAAGTTATCTAAACCGTGAATCGGTATACAAATTTTGAAACACCCTGTACACGACGTACCATGACCATGTAATTTTGATATGCAGTATTGCAGTGCCCTTTGGCGGTCGTCACTACCTACAGCCTTTACCGTTTCAAATATTGAATATGCTAAATAAAAACCCAAATCCATATTCTGCCGTTTTCTGACAAATGTGTTTAAAGACTATTTTTTAAATTCTGAATTCTTTCACCCAAATTTCTTTTTTGGGTCAAGAAATATCCCTGGAAACCATTAGAATCAATCACCGCGGCTTCAAGAAACCCCCTTTTAGAACCCCTATATAATGCCAAAATTGATCAAAAATGTGTCATGAGTGCTTAAAGTATTTAAATACCTCGGATTTGTGAGCGGTATTTAAGCACTCTTCATTGTCAGAAAACACCAGCATTTGCTATAAAAATTACTGAATAATATACTTATACAATTAAAGTGCATGGCAAGCTTGGCTGGTGATGCAAAGCTTAAACGGGAGCAGTGACATAAGCATAAGGATGAAGGAAGAACTGAACTGTAACAGTTTAACAGAGATAAACGTTTTGTTGTGATCTTTATCGAGCTCAACCTGCAAGGGCTTACCTGGGGACCCCAGGCTATAATGTTCATGAACATATAGAGATTTGGCGGAATGACAGGCTGAGCGCCGCCCAGTAAACTTATAACATTAACTACTTTAAGTACTCTAAGAAAGTACTATCGTGTAATTGTGCTGCAAAATAGCTGTTTGTTTCATTATGGGTGATCGCTTCATTTAATTGATAGTATTTGAATATTTCCGCTGTTTTAAATGTTTTAAATTTGTTGTTTTCATGCCTTCTCGTAGTCGTTCACGTTGGATGTTTTCCAACTGATGATGATTTAGATCGTCTGAAATAATTTTGTAAGCCGGAAATTATGTTCATCTAAATATTGAAATGTAAGAATTGCGACGGTCGTATAAATTATTGCAACTTAAAAATTGATATGTTCATTATATAAGTCATTACTTCAGATTTTGAAGGGAATCTATGCGTCGCATCTAAATATTTCATATTTAATTTGAAACTAATTGAATAAACTTATTTTTTACTTTCATCGAATAAGAAAACACAGGAAATTAATCTATTAAAGAGAGAATAAAATTAAGATTAATTTGAATAACCATCAATAACCAATCAATAACCAATCAACAACCAATCAATAACCAATCAATAAGAATAACCAATAACCATCCCTGATACCCTATCTTCCAATTACACGCAGAGATAAAAATACATAAATAGAAAAGTTATCAGTTTCTGTAACCCAACTATAATATTAATTAGAAACTACGCAAAAACACCTAAAACATCCCAACCACCCCACACTCTGTTATAATCACCAGCAAACAACCCCAGTATTTATATAGCCCTGCTGGGTAAGGTCACCCAGTGATTTAGGTTCATGACGTGCTGGTAGTTCCTTAAATTCATTCAAGGTTATTAACGAATATGTTTCACAACAATGGTGTTATGCTGAAACTTAGCATGACCGTATAGCTATAATTACTTTTCTGTGAGCCCACCTTCGAAAGATAACACTATTCAATTGTAGGGCCGTATATAAGCCATGAGGTGATATATATCTTATTTATGATATGTCTTGCGAAATCTTAAACGGGGTCAAATGACTGTTTTACAGAAATAGAATTTAGGGGTTGGTGCTATATAAATGATTAATAATAGTATCACTTGATATAAAATTATTCAAATGGGATAGCCAATTTGTAGGTAGAATATTATAACCTCACCTTTAAATCAAGTTTAATTGTTTAAATTGCAACAGCCCCTAAACTGATATCATTCCACTTTCTCGTTTAAAGAAGTTTACAAAATAATCTCAGGACTTGCTTACAAGTTACAACTCTAGAATCTCTCAATTTATCTTTAAATAACAAGATCAGAATGTGAGATAAAGCAAGCTCGAAAACAACTTTTAACTCCAACAAAACATACTATGTGTTACAATAGTACTTACTACTATTTATTTGATTAGGTTCACTGTGGCTTCTTTCGTGTATGGCCGTTGAGAGGCTGCTTTACCAATTACCATAGCCTCAGTCTTTTTATCATTGATTCTGAGACCTCCCTGGGCAGCATACATACACAAAAGGACAGGTGTTTCTTGAAGACCCTCCTCGCTGTTATCCAGTACAACCATGTACAACCATGTCATCTGCGTAATCCGTATCTAACACCGTGATATCATCAACAAGCGGACTGATAGATCTTTGAAAAACCGCTCCGTGAGACACCACTTTGTTGCTTTCTGTTCTCTCAGCAGCCACATTGAGGCATACATTAAAAAGCGGTGGACCGTGAATGTCTCCTTGGCCACTGCCTGAACTTACTTCAAACCATTCTGACAATTCACCGTTGTGTCTGACAGCACTGACAGTTCCATTAAAGAATGCCTGTATAATTCAGATGTATTTACATGGCAGGCCTTAATGAATGAAAGCTTTCCAAATATAATTCCTGTCGATTGAATCAAAAGCTGCCTTGAAGTCTACAAAATTTATAAACAGGGGAGATTATATTCAAGGCAGTTATGTATAATTGTGCGGAGTGAATAAATCTGATCAATGCATGCCCCGTTCTACCTGAACCCACACTGATTGTCTCGTAGCAAACCTTCTAAACCACTCATGCGTTGTTATATGATGATTTGATACATAACAGTTTAGATGCTGTAGATCTAAGAGTGATCCCCCTATTATTGGAGCAGTAGGAGGTATCACCCTTCTTCGGGACAATTATCACGATGCCTTTCACCAAGTCGTCAGGCACTGTTTCTTTGTTGTTGTATTCACAAAACCACTTGCCCCTTACTTTAACTGCTCATTAGAGATTTCGTCAATAGTAACAAGACAAATTTAGTAAGAATCAATTGCCAAACTTATAAAGTCTTCGTTGCAGGAAATCGATTAAGGTACTTTATAGCGTAAACTGCATTACTGAGATATTTTAAACGACACCAGCTCGAAAACACTTCAGCAAAAAACCTAAAGTTTATTATTTCTGATTAAATATTTGTTTATCAGCCCTATACTTATAATCGGCCCTAGATTACGACCCAGAAAAATGAAGTAGAATACTAAAATACACTAAAGAAATATGGAGTAATCAGTAGTTATTGTTAAGCCTTTGCCTCCATTTCGCGTACAGGTATACCAGGGTTTGCCAGCACAACGTTGGTGTCGTAATTCCTCAACCTGTAAGAAGTCAAGTTGAAGTTTCAACTTTAGAATGCAGGTTGAGACGACGAAATCTGACACTTAAATATGAAACACACCAACGAATCAATCAAGAAGAGCTGGAGGGGGATTGTTTAAAACATATAAGTGATACGAAAATTTTGCAGGAGCTTTCAAAATACATGTGTAAATCGTCTTCAGCTGAAAATCGTCTTCATCAAGAAGGTATTTATATTTTCAACAAAAGCGGTTATAAACGTTCATGAATTTTACCAAACTTCTGAATAGGCACTTACCTAGGATCGTGGCCCTCATCGTGAATGACCCAGCAATCGTGGTCTACCAGCATGTCCTTCTTATGGACTCGTGGACAACAGGGTTGGTTCATGACCACACCTGATGAGTTTGAATTTTAGCAACATTCAAATTAATTGTCAAAGTTTGTTTGCTGCAACGATCTCACAATACGAGGCTGAGTTACAATTTGATATGGCGGTTTATAAGGGTCAAAGCCCAAAAAATATGTTATGTGTGGCTCGCAGGCTTATTACAATTTTCTTGGTTTTGGAAAATATATCTCGGCGATTCAGTTAAATTATTTCCAAAAGTAGTTTCACTAAAAACACTAAGGCTTTTAATAGCTTACAATCCCTTTCAAATGTGAATTCTATAGTATGGATTCATACAATTCGGCACACAGCGCCGATCTAAGTTTTAGGTTAAACCTTAGAAAATCAAAATCCTTGACCGGATATAATTATCAGATAATTGTAACAGTGTGGTTCAACTTACCAGTGATGATCCCAGAGACAATAGAGACACCGAGGGTGCAGACAATGGCAAGGATTATGTACCCGAACTGTTCCCCTTTACTTCTGGGCATATCCGCTGAAAAAGTATTTGCACGTCTGATAATCATTTCAATTTTCAGATTGTTCTAATTGGGCGTAAATACTGTAAAGCTACAAAAAGTAACTAAAATTATACGGCTCGGACCACAATAAAGATGGAATCGTTAAATGCAGGTATAATTTTAGATTAATCACAAATTAGCACTAATTGTTAAGTAAGTTATAATTACTGATTAATTACTATAACCAACCTGTTGTTTCCCATTGGGTGTTATATGAGTACAGGTAGTTGTGATTATCAGCGAGGCAAGCAAATGCGGCAAAGATAGCTCCAATCCATCCGGGGATCCCGTGCAACATTTGTACAGCTAGAGGAGGGTTGTGTTAAATCTTAGTCGGATAACTGATTTGATTTCTTGATTGTGTCTGGTTGAGAAGTGAAACGTGGATTGAATCAGTCAATTATAGACGGTTAACAAATCAAATTAGTATCTATCATAATTGTTAAGGTGGCCTAGTCTGAAATAATTACACATGTTATAGTTATAGTTATAGCCATATATTAAAAAACGTCAAAAGTACTAACCAGCACTGTCGGTAATTCCTAGTCTTTCAAGGAAGGGATGGTAGAGTGCATAACCACTGCAACTGATAACTCCTCCAACTCCTCCTGCAAATACATGTCACTGTTAGTGTTACAACTTGATGTTAGGTAACAGACGTTCTACTAGATATTAGACACATCATTATTCAACGCTTTGACGGTGAGAATTTGTATATATAAAAAGTCATATAAACGTTCTCATGGTGCTTTATTGATGACGATTGACGAACATTTTGGTGAAAAGAGAAAAAAATATATTTAAGTATTTTGTAAGTATGCAGTAGGCACAAAGCAATTCCTCAATATCTCTATTCTACATTACCTATGAGTACAGCCGTCCAAGGCTCGATGCCGAAGGGGCAAATCATTCCAATAATGACACCTCCTGCCAGTGTAGCGTTTTGTATCTCGAGCTGTAATAGTAATTATATTTCAACACTAAAATCTAAAATCTTTTTTTGAAAATTGTTTTTGAACATTTGAGCATTTTTTGACATATTTTTTTGACGGGGCATATTTCTTTCAAAGGTGCTCAGATTGGACAGTATTTCAAAGGGGTTATATTAACTAAGAGTACTACTACTCGTACAGACTACATATCAAGAAATGTAACCTTAACCACCATGGCCAAATAGTACCCAAATACTGATTCAATATTTGAAACACGTTTTGAGCCTTTTTGTGATGTGATATACTTTGAATAATTACAATTTATCAAATACAGAGCATCGTCTTTAAATATATGCACACTGAACCGAGCAGCGAGATCCTTACAGTCAATAACACCCGTAAACTTGGTGGTAGTCACTGAGAGCTTAACCCTAGTCTTGAGTCTGTACTCTGTGCTACTTATAATGACATGCTCTTCTTTTGTGTTAGACGGAGCCCCTGGATCAGCTGTACTCAGCTGTACTCAGGAGTAGGATAAAGTGATACACTTATAAAGTTATAAGCAAGGCTGTGGTTCCCGCTGAAAACAACACTCTTATCTCGTTTTGTGTATTCTGCATTTCCTGTGCTCATGTTTTTGTATCGTCTTAACCGTCAACTTCAAGTACTCTCACAGTAATGATATTATGTAGCTAGCCCGTAGAGTTTTGTTTAGTATCATCGTGATATACATACCATTTGACATATCACTTGTGCAGGAAAAATTAATCCCGATTTACCGCGGATGTTTCCTTCCCCCAAATTCCGCGGTAAATCAGGGTTTTACTGTATTTATTTTATTTAAGCTCTGTACTGTAAAAGCACAATCTAAGATGGGTAGTAGCACCTCTAAAACAGAAGATGAAACCACAGCGACAGCTAATTGTGATTGGACCGGAGATTTCAAGTAAGAATTTGTGCTCATTCTTATCTGTAATTTATAGTAGAAAACTTTTCTTAATAAGAAAACTTTTCTTAATAAGAAAAGTAGAATTAATCTTTTTTTGCAAAGATGCTTTCAAGTTTGAGTATATCTGGGATTTAAGATTCTTCGTCAAACGTCACTTGAGTGAAAAATAAGTAATGGTTTTTAATTTCTTTAAAAATATCGAAACGAAATAATCGTGAAGTATATCATTTCTAGGTATAAATCCTACGTTGAAGACGAAGGATTAGATAGTGTGCAGGAACACATTGACAACGATAAAATAGGCGGCGTGTTCCTTTACACCACACCTCTGATCCAAAATCATTTGAAAGCCGAATCCACAAAACCTTGTCATGTTTACGTGGTGTTTTACACAGAAACAAAGAGAGGAAAATACTGGTGGTCACTGGAGAAGAATGGAAAAGCACTGATCCTACAATGGAGCAGAAGACGAGAAGATGTCAGGGATAAGATTGAGGGGGAGAAGCGGCCGGCCTACAAGGGTTACCAAACACCACAGGATGACTCTTCCATCACCTTTAAGGCATTGTACAGTTATATTGTAGTGGACACAGACCTAAAGAACATCAAATATAATTTCGCATATGCGAATTGTAAAGATTTTGCCATGATTGTTTTTGACAAGATCGCCAAAAACAAAGCCTGGAACTATGTTATGTGAGTCATGTACTATTGTCAGTATTCCGATCTTTTTATTGCACATTGGGTCGAAGCAGGATTATTCATTATGTTAATTGTATTGAGTTCATTCATCAACCTTATTTAAAAAAATGAAAAATACAGTCCTGATTATCTTAAGTACGGCTAAAAGAGCCAAATTAGGCCAAACAACAAAATCAGGGCAAATAAGGTACATTCTTTTTGTAAATTTAAGTTTACATGTACACAAGAATGGCAACATCGCAGTTAAGGTATTATACTTTTCAGTTTATATACTCACCATCTGGAATTTTCCCTTGTTGAGCAGACTAGAAGTGGCAAAAGCAGTGGCACAGCTAGCACAGATAGCAAGATAAGTGTTCATTAAGATACGTCCTTGTAGGGTCACATCGTTGTAGAACCCGGCTCCTGGTTTGAAACAGAAAACATTAGTTTAAAATTGTATTTCACAATATGGCTGGTTTTGAAAAGTATTGGGATAGAAAGATAAATGATCTGATCTTGAAACTTTCAATCGTATTCGCGGTAAGTATAAATGGAGCATGGATCGTTACACGGAGTGTCATGGCGGCGGTGAGCCATAATACTTTCTAAACTAGTCTTAAACTTAAAGAGGCAGCAAAGGCATTATCAGTTATCTACTCCTACATTGCTCACATAACTTGCTCACATTGCTCATAAATATAGTTATGATCGCTCTGAACTCTAGTGCAAATCACATTGTGTATATATTGAGAAACACTAGACTGAGTGAGTTATGAGTATACAAAGAGACATTTGAGAAGACTAGCGGGATTTCTGGTAACGAGTATTCAAACTATGAGCAGAATTTTAATACCCTTAAGGCCAATAAATTTGGTTCACAATAATTGTTGGTTACAAAGATGTTGGTACTTGGTTACCATAATTTGAGTCACAAATTTTGCACATTTTTAGTCTGCAACAATTTTAGTCACATTTTTTGACTTTTTGAGACCATTTTCCATTCCATTTATTTGATTTTTCCATTATTTAGCTGGTTTTAAAAAATGTTTCGCACATAAAGTCATAGTCATGCTTTAACGGTTTGTTATAAAATATAGCAGCGATTTTAAAGGCTACATTCTAGAAGGGGTCGTTTCACATAATCACTTTAATGAGTTAAAATAGATGCAGATTAGGCTATCCATTATCGGTATGAAATCTTTTATCTAGATAAACAGATAAAAATTTAGGTTTTATCTAGATAAAACCGATAAAACCGATAATTTTTCTGCTGAAGGCCAAAGCCAAAATGTTTTCCAAATTTCACAAAAACTGATTGTCGACTTTTATTACTGTTTACCAGTAATCTTGCTAAAGTACAATTTCCTTTCTTTTGAAAATATTAGAGCATCAGTTTTCTTCTCCGGGGAACAATAGTGTACCAGTTCTCTTCAATACAGTAGACCAACGGTTTGTCTTCTCCTAAGAACAGTAGTGTACCAGTTCTCTTCAAAACAGTAGATCACCGGTTTCCTTCTCCTAAAAACAGTAGTGTACCAGTTCTCTTCAAAACAGTAGACCAAGGGTTTCCTTCTCCTGATAACAGTAACGCACTAGTTCTCTTCAAAACAGTAGACCACCGGTTTCCTTCTCCTGAGAACAGTAACGCACTAGTTCTCTTCAAAACAGTAGACCACCGGTTTCCTTCTCCTGAAAACAGTAGTGCAACAGTTCTCTTCAAAACAGTAGACCACTGGTATCCTTCTCCTGAGAACAGTAACGCACTAGTTCTCTTCAAAACATTAGACCACCGGTTTCCTTCTCCTGAGAACAGTAACGCACTAGTTCTCTTCAAAACAGTAGACCACCGGTTTCCTTCTCCTGAGAACAGTAGTGCACCAGTTCTTTTCAAAACAGTAGACCAAGGGTTTCCTTCTCCTGAGAACAGTAACGCACTAGTTCTCTTCAAAACAGTAGACCACCGGTTTCCTTCTCCTGAGAACAGTAACGCACTAGTTCTCTTCAAAACAGTAGATCACCGGTTTCCTTCTCCTGAGAACAGTAGTGCACCAGTTCTCTTCAAAACATTAGACCACCGGTTTTCTTCTCCTGAGAACAGTAGTGACTAGTGCACCAGTTCTCTTCAAAACAGTAGACCACCGGTTTCCTTCTCCTGAGAACAGTAGTGCACCAGTTCTCTTCAAAACATTAGACCACCGGTTTCCTTCTCCTGAGAACAATAGTGCACCAGTTCTCTTCAAAACAGTAGACCACCGGTATCCTTCTCTTGAGAACAGTAGTGCAACAAATACCAATTCTCCTCGAAACAGTAAAACATTTAAAGTGATTCAGTGAACCGTTTCCTTATCCTGTGGATAACTTGGAGCAACAGATTCCTTCTCCTGAAGACAATGTTTCACGCCTAGAACACTTACGGAATTTAATTGAGTGCCCTGCCGCCTGCCGGTATTTTTGACTCTTGTTAACAGTAACATGCTCGTTCCTGTCTCCAGAATGGTTCAAGTAAGGTAGAACGCCAGCACCCTAGCCTCAAGATAACAATGTCAATAACTTTCTCTAGACTTCTACAGTTCTACAGTTCTACAGTTCCATTATAGGTATACAAATGTAAATAAACCTCTTAAGCTCACATTTAAGTAAACTACCTCTTCTATCATACTATAAAACGTTTGGGACTGTTTCTTGGATTACTTGGGAAGGCAAAAAACACTAATATTTCTTTAAAATTTTACGGTATTGTGGCAGTTTTTTCGGTAATTTCTAGTGAATTTTTATACCGATAAAAATATGTTTTATCTAGATAAACAGATAACCCTTTTTAACGAATTATCGGAGATAATTATCGGTAACGATTATCGGAGTGGATAGCCTAATGCAGATACTGCCTGATGGGAAAAAGAAGTAAAAGAATGTGAAAGCATAAAAGCAGTGGATTACACGTGTAATAGTCAAACTTCAAAATGGGTCAGCAGTAGGAACGGTGATGTCATTATATTAATTATAAACAATGTAAGCTCAATAATATTCATGTCATATATGGGTACACGTACTCAAGTTCGACAGTACGCACTCTAGTTCGACACACACTGTAGTTCGACAAACCCTAAGGTTCGACTCTGTCGAACTAAAGTGCGCTACCTGGACTCAAGTTTGACACGTACTAAAGTTCGACAAAAAACTTAGACTGTCGAACTAGAGTTTTGAAATCTCCGATCTCAAGCAACGATCTTTTACGAGCTTTAAATCTATTCGTTTGTTTGTTTTCCACTTGTCTCATGTTGTTCAACTATGTGTGAATGTAATCTCTATAATCCATATCTATGAACATTTAATTGACCTCCGACTCAATTGTTAGTTAGCAGAATTGTAGACTAAAAGACAATCGTGGTAACTCGTACTCCTTTTTATAGATCTAGATTGTAGAGTACGCTATATAAATATCTACCACATACCACACTTTATATTATCACAAACGACTAGTAACCGAGTACCGGTTTAGAGATTTGGCTGCTGAACCGGAAACAGTCGGATATCAATCTATTTTCCTGTAAGACCAGAACCGAGTGGCAAACAGGAAATTTAAAACTATACTGAAAGGTTCTGGAATTTCTAACCGCTGGTTGCTAGAATGCTAGATGTCAGAAAATTGTTTTATCTGCCATTGAACCGGGAACCCCGTGATCCTATGATGAGGATCCGGCGATAGCCGTCGAATTACAAGAAGAAATTATTTGTCGAACTAAAGTACACTACCTGGACTCTAGTTCGACACGTACCGAAGTTCGACAGGGATGATATCTGGTGAACTTAAATTGTCGCACTATAGTGCGTCTCGAACTAGAGTACGTAAATCATATATTATGCTCTACTGAAATTTTGGTCTGCTTTTAAATTAGTCGCCGAAAAATTTAGTCTCAATAAATTTGGTTTACAAAAATGTTAGTCCAAATTTTGACTAAATTTATGATGGACTAAATTTGTCGTTCTTAAGGTATACATGATAACTCATCTCGCTTGTTGCTGATCATATTTAATGTATATTAGAAACAACAATATAATAATTTTAATTCCATGAGTTTGTTTTATTACGTAGTCTAACATTGTCATATTGTGAACATGACTTAGTCTGAATTGAGTCTTGGTGTGTGATTATTGTTGATGTGTGATTCTATTGTTTAGTCTTACAGTCTCAGGTTCTCCTCATTGCTATGTATGAGACGTGGCAGTGTAAGATTATTAAACTTATGATCACTGCATGATCAGTCACGTAACTCACCATTAAAACTAGGCCAGAACATCCACAGAACAATAGTCCCGATCATCGCACCCATATCGCTAAAGTAGGTGGTAACACGATGAGCATCCGGCAAGTCCTTAGCTTTAACCCCCATTCCAATTACCACGGCAATACCAAAGTAAGCTCCAAAACAGTGGACCACCAAACTGCCTCCAGCGTCTTTAACGTGAATGTAATCGAGCACTGAAATGAGGAGACGTTCTTCAAATTATATTCTAGTTGAGTATATTTCTAACCAGAGAAAAGTTAATCTTTTTACAAGAACTGCAGATAGTCAATGATATGCTTCTAAAAGTTATATTTTGTTTTAGATTTATACTGACCGATGTGTTCGTTGATGAGCATCATAAGAGGCTCAATAATGCAAACTAGCACGATCTGAGAGGGGGTGGTAAACCCGATGAATGCACCAAAAGAGATGAGGACCGCAGCCGTTACGTAACATCCCGTTACCTGGGGAGTGTAATTTGTAAAGATTTATTAGAGATCATACCGTGTACAGTAAGAATAGAATATAATGTAATTAATGTAGCACCTGAAATCAGCATGCTTATGACTGTGAAATAAGTGCAGATTTCTATCTTTATTGCATTTATACAGGTCATCTTAAATCTGGGTATCACTGCAAATAATACAGACATTTTATGAACAATACAAAATAATTTAACAAACCATTTCGTCAAGGTTGATTTGCGTTTTGTGGAATTCTCCTTTGAAGATGGCATTGACAATGGCTTTGGCCACGTTTACCCAAAGAAAACAGAAACCACAAATGAAGAAGTTCATTCCAACACCTCCCCAAACGTAATATTTACTGAAATATTTTCATTGTGAAACATAATCAGCGAGATGGGTATGCATTTTATCGAAATTAACAAGCAACTTTTTTATGTATATGGATGGATTAGCGACGTACTGAGCTGAATAATGAATAAATTCAAAACTCGTCAGTTCTGCCAGTCTTAATAATGATCAATTATATGATGGAATAAAGAAGCTAAATCTGGCGATATAATTTTACTTATTTGTGTTTAACAACTCATGTTTGTGTGCACCTGAAGACGTATAGGAATCCGAAGCCCATAACGCACATAGCAGCAGCGTCCATGTACATAGAATAAGAGACATTTCCACTAGCCCAGGTATTCTCCACCGCTGTTCGTACATCATTGTCTCCTACTTTGGTGATGGTATCGACACCTGACGGTCAAAGTCAAAGATAAGTGATAGATGCGATGTTAGGGCAGTGGCAACTACCCCAGATAAAAGTTAAAAGAAATAAGTAGCCATGACAGAGTAAGCGAGTTGGTTATTGTGTTAAGGGTGACCCTAATCAAACGAGAAGCCGGAGAAGGTTACGGAGTAAATGTTTGCTGTTGCCGTATATATCTAGGAGAGCACATCACGCATCGTGGTATGTGGTATGGTGTTATATTCAAGTATTAATATCGTGGTATGCGAGGGGTCTTTAGTTCGAACTATATACCTACTAGATAGACGGCAAGAATTTGATAAGTGATCTAGTTTCGAACCGCATGTCACGCTTTAAATATGCATTCTTTATCACCCCTGGAATTTAATTTCCTATTCTAGTTTACGATATTATTGCAGTTTATTTTTATGTTATATTATATTTAATAAACCGGTTTCAAAGTCCTTATGGGTCATTGGGTGGCCCTCGGGTCTTTAAAACAAACGTGTCCGAGGAGCATTAGTTCCAAAATTTTTTGGCAAATAAAGCACCCTTGACACTGCGACAGTTTACTATATTTCTCAGTCAGGTAACTGAAATGTACGCTGTGATACCATTATATATTAAATTAAAGTTTAATTGAAAGATTGATATGAAAAGTTTTGGTAGTAACGGCCGTTTACAAAGAGCAAAGGAGTGGTTCACCTTAAAGTGATAATTGCAACACCCTAGGTTGATTGAGATCCCGCAACAATAGGTGGTCTTTTTTTGAGAAAGTTTAATTCACGCGTTGAACTTTGAAGAAAGGGGCTTAGATCACGGAGGTTTTAGATAGGATTAGTAAGGTGTCCAGGCTGTGTTTGGTTAGACATTGAGACAATGGTGGCCTTTGTTGTAGATTCGCACCTTTTGGAAGATGTTTAATTGTTCATTACTATACTTCTGTAAGCAGTCACTACTTGCTTCAGATTCGTAGATTATTGGTATTTTATTTCATCCCTCGCCGACCGTCCTTATATCAGGCCCAAATCCACTATAGTTCATTCTCGCTCTACCTGAGCCCGATTGTTGTTGACACGAACCCACTCGTGTTGGATTAACCCGTGTTAACCCTGGCTACAACACAGCCTATTCCTGCTCTCCTGAGTTAACCAATGTTGACTCTCCCTACGCTTAAGCCAGACTGCTCATGTCCTCCGCACAGTTCCACTAACTACAGTCCACTATAATGCTCTCTCCAGGACCCTAACGTAACAGGTCCTGGCTCCAAAGTATCCTACATCAATGGCCCTCGATTCGGACAAACTCAATCTCCTTTTGCCAGCTCCAGCCCCCAGATATAAATAATGCCGCGTGCGTGTTTTCACTCGACATCTGCAGACACCCAAGCTCACGTGCCCCTGCTCACACCTTAGCAGCTGTTCTTCTCTCACAAAGCCCTCCCTCTGTATCATCGTTCCAGGGTGCAGGTGTTATAACTCCCATCTTTAAGAAGCTATCTTTAATCATCTATCTTTCACAAAGCTTTTTCTCTATTTCATTGTTTCTCCTCTAGGGTGAAATATTTCTCGTCTGCCCAGGTGAGGTTCCACCCATAGTCTCCATTGTCTTCTCTTTCCCTAACTTTACGATGTCAGCGGCCTAAACTCTGATGTCGAACTGCTGATTATAGTCATCTCCTAGCTCCTCCAACTATAATACAATAATATAATAATCACGGCTTACACTTCATTTGTCTTTTTTAGGTTTGAACAGTGGTTTAAAACATTTTGGATTCAGCAGCTCTTAATAGAATGCTTTTACAACCTGATAAGTTCTCAAACATTCCGTTCCTCTCCAACATCTCTTTATTTTTATTTTGCTGTGCATCTATCTTGTTCACTGTCGTTCCTCTTGATTATCACGTGTCTTTACTCTACCACCATGTCTCTGCTTCCGGTCTCCACTCATTAACATGTTGGACAGTCTCCTGTATTATCGTACTGTCTTTCCCTCCAGCTCTCCATATTTGTTTCTTTCTGTCTCTCTTTAATGTCTTCACTTATCTCCTTCCAATGTCTCCTTGTGTCTTCTTTTAGTGTATCACATGCATCTTCTGAAACGATAATTACAAGTGTCTCCTTCTAATGCCTCCATATGTCATTTTCTAATGCTAGCATGTGTCTCCTTCAAATGTGTGTCTCCTTCTGTCTCGTCTCCATGCCTCTGTTTCAATTTGTTCACGCGTCTTTTTCCCAGATTTATCCGTCTTCCATTTTATTTCTTCTGTAGGCAACTTTACATTTTCATGTTCGTGTCTTTTATCTGTCTTCTTTTTCCATTCACCTTAATCTGTAAGTTTCTTTTTCCTTTTAGTTCCCGTTTTCTTCTTTTTTCGTCCATCTTCTCCAAGCTATTTATCTTCCATTGTAGTTTCCCTACTATTACAGATCTTGTATTTTCTAACATCTTTATCTTTTCTTCTAAAATACTGATCTGTTCCGATTTCAGGTAGTCTCTTCTATCCCTTATCTCCTCCATTGCGGTATACATACCCGTCCATCTTGCATCCATTCCCCTTTTTTTCACCTCTGTTACCTCCATGTTCAATCTCAATCGAAACCACTCCTCTTTCTTTTGTTCCATTTCGTCCTCGTGTTTTAATTCCTTTACTCTCCAAGACTCTGCTTCTTCTTCTCCTTCCGAGCTACTGGTATCCAATGAGCTATCTGAGCTGTTTTCCGAGATGCTTTCTGTTTCCGATTGATTCTCCTCTTATCCCATTATCGCCTTTCTATCTCTGCGTGCCACACTAACTTTTACTCTTTCCATGCTGAATTAGACGATATTAATTGATGTTTTTTTTTCTTATATCTCTTATCTTCATTAGTTCTTATCATTTATCTTATCTCACTCACAACTGCCATTCTGGCTTATTTCATTCTGAATTTCCCCCTTTCCAATAATTACTTACCTAAACTAATTAAACTGCAATTTTGTACCATGTTTAGTTACTGTTTAGATCTACTTCCTTTTTGGTATCTCCCTGGTGATGACCCTCCCCTTCCGCTGTTACGAGGGCGACACATTATATAACTGCTTACCGTAAGTTCTTAAACTTTATAAACTGTATTTATTTACTCAAATCCTTTTCTGTGTAGTTTAAATTTACCATATACTCTACAGTCTACAAAGCTTAAATTTATTCTATACTTAAATTTAGATATACACTTATTTATTTTATAGGGCTACCCGGACTTGTTTTCAAACGCTTTCTCAAAACGGGTGTGGCCCCTGACCCCGCAACTACTCCTTCTCCTCCTGCTCTACCTGCTCCACCTCAACCTGCAACCGGTATGTAACATCTATAGTAACCATTTTCTATTTAAACTTACATATTTTTATCTCTTTTCCTAGAGCTGATTCTAAATACGCTTATCCTAAACTGTAAGATTTTACTTTGTTATTTCTCCTTACATTTTATCTTTTATCAGAGTTCTGAATACGACCTCGCCCACCCCTCATCTCACGTCCTCACCTGTTCCCGCCCCTCCCAGTTGCTCTTCTGTCGAACTGCAGATATATAGAGGGGTTTTTCTACATTATTAATATCTATTTTTTCTTGTATTGGTTTTAAATTGCATGAACATTTGCTGCAAAAATGTTTCACCTTTTGGTTTAACATTTTCGGGCCCAACTTTTAAATGTATTTTATTTAAATTAAAACCTTAGTATAGATCAGGGTAAATGATTTGGTAGGATCTTGGATGCCTAGGACGAGGCATGTTGTTACTGGGAATCAGCGAGGACTGATTCAGGTCACCAAGGTTAAGTTAAGGATAGGTCAGGTACGGTCAACGCATGTTGACCGTACTCCGTCGTATTTTAATGAGAAGAATTGTATTTTGGGGCGTTTTTAGGCGATATAAGTCTGGTCAATAGGGATTTATAATCTTGGATTATTGTCTGGGCAATGTCGGGTGGGGTTTGTTCTATAGAAGGATGATACCACGGACAGGACATTATATAAAGTCCGGTGAAATGGGCACAAAGAGATTGAGTTTGCCCGATTCGATAGAGGGTCACCGTTGATACCGGACTATCAGAGACCAGGACCAGTTTTGGTTGGACCCTGGTGAGCACGGAGGGTACATATCGTTACTAGGAATCAACAAGGAATCAAGGATTCCCCCTGCCTCCACAGCGTACAGAACCTTTTAAAATCGTTGTTTTGTTGATGTTCATTATATCTCTACGTACTTTTGTTTGCTTTAACACCCAAGACTTTGTTTAAACTACAATTTACTTTACAAAATTCCTAATTTACGCATTTCCTAATTAACACATTCCTAATTTACACATTTCTCCCAGAATTAAGTAAAGTTGTTCCTTTTTAGACCCCTCTTGTGGGCCATCTGTTCGCTGTCACTTCCTATTATGTTCCCTTGTCTATTCATCTATTATATAAGGCTTGACTTAATTATCCGTCTTAATTATGTCTGACTCTAGTTCTGTACAACTTCCCGAAATTAGTTCGTCCAGTGATCCTCCCCCTCCTCCTCCACGTGTAATTTTAAGTTTGATCATTCGTCGTCGTGTTCTCCTTCCCACTCCACCTGTTGTCCCGGCCAGAGAAAAACGGCGGGATTGGATAGCGGGGAAAGTAAATCGGATTCTGGGGAAGAATCCGGATTGAATACCCCTACTAGAAAGAGTGGAAGAGAGACACCCCCACAATTGGAAGGGTTAGGGTTTACTGAACTGCGAACCCCTCCCAGAAGTCAAGGAGATCTAACACCAACAGAATTAAAGGGGAGAGGAATGACGACTCCTCCAGTTAAACCTAATTTTGAGAAGCCAATAGGAGCAAGTACACCAAAACCCTCGGCTCTGATAGCGGATCTAAGAAGAGTGGAAGGGGAAATGAGAGAAAAATGTGTAAATCTGAAGGATAGGATCGAGGGCATGGACAAAGACTTGGAAAGTTTAGGTGATCGTATGGTTCAGGGTGTGAGGCAGGGGGAAACTAGAAGGTCGGAAAGAAATAAAGGTAGAAAGGTAAATTACCAAGCTGAAAGAAATCCTGACGGGCCTTAGACAAAAAGGGGAGATTGGTTACATTTTAGATTAAATAATTAGAAAGGAAATAACAAGAAAATCACCAGATAGGAGATGATAACTATGGAGATATTGGAGTGGTTAGTTTTGATGATAACAGTGGTGACAGGGATGATAGTTTATATGAGAAAGGAGGAAAGGAGACAGGAATCGGGACAGCAGACTGGGGACCTGGAGGGAAGGGTAGTGGAAGAGAACAGAAGGAGGTGGGGAGGATTAGAAGAAGAAACGGAGGAAGAAAGGGAGAAAAGGGAGGCAGAAGAACTTAAAAGAAGAGAAGAAGAAGAACTACATGAAAGTCAGGAGGAAGCGGCAAAAGAATGGGACAGGCTAGTAAAAGAGGAGAAAGGTAGGGTGGAGAAAATGGAAGAAGAAGAAAAGAGGGCGAAAGAAGAAAGAAGAAAGGGAGAATGGGTCAAGATGGAAAGGAAGGTGTGGTGTTTTCGGTGTGAAAGGTATGGACACATGTCAAAGGATTGCAGGAAGGAGAAAAGGTGTTATAATTATAAGTCTAGGGGTCACGAGGCGAGGGACTGTTATCGGTGAGGAGGGGAAAGAGGGGTGATTTTAGATTTTCAATGATGATTTTTAAGGGGAGAGGGGGAAGTTTTGTTTTTAAAAGGGGGGAGTATCAAAGGTTGTCAGGGATGATAACTCGGGATGATAATTTATTATCTTGTGACCTTCGTTATCTCGCTCGTTTCCGTTGTTCGTACCCTAAATTACAACAAATAATGAACGAATCTGAAGCAACGGTGACTGCTTTGAGCGCTGCTTGGGCAGCGCACAAACGGCTATCTGATCAGTACAAAGATGAGGAACCCTTCGACATCTACGATCTTCTCCTCTTTCACAAATTCTTCAACGATCTCTACAATCGAAAGTGTGGCGTGAACAATCACTCCAAGGATGATGGCACTTCTACTCCTACGTCCAATGATTCGCAACCTATCAAGGAATTGGTCGATGAACTGAATTGCGACTTTACCTTACAGGAGATCAAAGATGCGACTAAAAAACTCCAAAACAATAAGAGTGTGTCCGATGACCTGATATCCAACGAGATGTTGAAAAACTCCAATGAGACACTTCAACTCGGCGTGGTAAAACTCTTTAATGCCTGCCTCCAGCATGGAACTTACCCCTGGAACAACTCGATCACAACTCCCCTCCATAATATAAAAAGGGTGACCGGCAAAACCCTGATAACTATCGGGCTATTACTATTGGGAGCTGTCTCGGCGAACTCTTCTCGAACCTTCTCCTTAAACGGCTGATCGAATTTAGAGAAACAGCCTGTCCGGACCGACCATATCAACTTGGATTCAGGAGGGGAGCCCAATGTAACGACCACTTACTCACCTTGAATACCATTATTGAGAAATACACCAAGAAAGAGAAGAAGCGACTTTTCGCCTGCTTTGTCGACTACCGCAAGGCTTTCGATAGCGTATGCAGGGAAGCACTCCTATTCAAGCTGGGCAACATGGGCATAACAGGCAAATTCTTCGATTGTATCAGCCACATGTACAATAACTCTTCAACCCGAGTCAAGCTGATCCGCAGCCATTGACGTCACCATCGGCACAGAACAAGGACATCCAATGTCCCCCGAGCTCTTCAAACTCTATATCCACGAGCTCTCTATCAGACTTGAACAAATCGAGGAATTGGATGTACCTTTATTAAACGATGTAAAAGTAAGTCACCTCCTATGGCAGGGCAGATGACCTGGTACTCTTAGCGCTGGATGCGGGCAGCTTACAGAAACTGATCAATTGCTTGCATGACTATGCTGAAAAGTGGGAGCTGTCTGTGAATATCAACAAAACCAGCGTGATGGTCTTTAACACAAGCTCACGAATACTGAAATGTGCTTACGGCTTCAAACTAGGCAATTTGGACATCGCACCAGTCAGAAAATACTGCTATCTAGGAATCCAATTCTCCCTGAACGGTTCCTTCAGGCAAGCAATCGATGAACTTAGGAAGAAAGCTCTTCGCTCATTCTTCTCTCTGAGACGAACTATTGACACGAGAGCCCTTACCACTAGTACGATGCTAAAACTCATTGATAGCTTAGTCAAGCCAGTGGCCACATATGGATGCCCTATTTGGCTGCCATCAACTAACATCGTGAAAGCCATCCTCTCGAAAAATCAAGAAGCGAGTCTTCCCAAAGCAGCAGCAAAAGATGCTCTTGAAACTACTCACTTGAAAATTCTTAAATGGATATTGGGTGTCCACAAAAAAGCAAATAACAACTTCTGCTACAGAGATACAGGTAGAACCCCCTGGACAGTAACCGTCCTCCCTCAATGTATTGCCTACTTCTGTAGAGCATCACAAGCGGTAGTAGGTAACGTGAACACCCTCTTGCACCATACATTTCAGGAACAGAAACAACTGAACCTTACCTGGTATGATGCATGGTCTACTATCATCAAGACGAGCACTGTCGCTAAGCCACACCTACCCCACACCCTTGCGGCTCGTGAACACATACACGAAACATTTGTTAACCACTGGAAGAAGGATCTTCACAACCAGCCTAAAATGTCATTCTACACTGCGGTCAAAGCTGAGTTTGGTGAAGAACTGTACTTACAGCTCCCATGCAGGGTCAAAAGAGCTAACATTGCGAAACTTCGATCTAGCAGTCACGATCTGAGGATTGAGAAAGGTCGCTACACTGGAGATCGCTACAACACAGCACTGAAAACATGTCGCTTTTGCTGCTCCTCAAACACCGACGTCATGCGGTTCTTCGAAGAACTACCATTCTTTGAAACACCTATCCTTGAAACCGAGGACCACGTCATAAATGAATGCCCCAGCTACAACTCCCTCCGGTCCAACCTCTCAGACAACCTTAAAAGCCTCATAATGCTCAAAGAATATAGGGCCATCATGAACTCATTCCATGCATGAACAGAATTTGAAAAGTACCTCACAGAATCCTTTCACCTTCGACATCCTCCTCAAAAGAAGTCCTAATAATCACCTCCTAAGAAGTCCTAGTAATCACCACCTAACAGACTCTTCAAACCTTCGAAATCCTAAGAATAAGTCCTAATCCTCGCTTCACGTCCCCTACTCATCTCCTTCATCGTCTCATCAACTTTTCGTAGTCTTTAAGTCTAACCTATCTCCTTGGACTTGCTTTTATGCACACATCCAGAATTTTTATTAGCATTTAAATGATTATACTTGATTTTATTTCCACTTCGTGATATTGTAACGCGGTTAAATTTTAAAATTTTATTTTCATACTTTTATTCGGCTTTTGTTTTATATCTAAACGTATTTATGAATTGATGTATAGCCAAAACGAGTTCGTTAGTGTTCTCCTTGGTAATTTCATGTTTAATTCCTGTTTAATTCCTGTTTAATTCCTGTTTAATTCCTGTTTAATTCCTTTTTACAGAAATATGAATCATGCGTGGTCTAACCACAGCGAAATTTTCGATTTTTTCATTTGTCTCAATTCTTTCACGCCGATATACTGATAATTCTACTCATATCATGAACAGTCAATGACTAGACAAGGTTATTGTAATGAAAAGTTAAAGTGAATGATGTCGTCTCGATTTGGGACCAGCTCACGGTACATCAGACTTTGGTTTTTTATAGCTAAAGAAATGAATGAGGAGACAAGTCAGCTAAAAATATAAAATCACATTAAATTGCCACTCACCAAACAAAGGATCCCACTCAGTGCACACCCCGAACAGAATCACAATGAGGACGAAGGTAGGATACAACCAGATAGGTAGTCCGTATACCTGCATGGTGCTGCCTTTACCCATACTCCCTAGCTGCTACCTACCTGGTATAGACGAGTGATTAATACTCAAAAGTTGAATTTAAGTTTAGCAAAGCTTATAAGGCTGCCTTAATTATTAAGGCACGGTAAATGAATTATTTGTAAGTTGATCAGTCTGATTAAATACTAAACCGATCGTTAATATCAAAATCATAGCATTCTCAATGGGCTGAGGGTATGAAACTGAAAGTAATATAATTCGGTGTATTTTTGGATGCTGATTCCGAACCACCCCACATGACGTAGGCCGTAGCGGGTAAAAATGCTTCCCTAGGGAGTTATGGGCAAAAAAATGTTTTGGTCACGTGACAGTAAAACACGAATTCGATTGTTCAGGGCTCGGGTTAGGGTTAGACTTAGAGTTGTGGTTAGGGTTATGGATAACTTCGGGGTTATGGTTAGGTTATATGGTTGGGATTAGGGTTTATGTAATACAGATCGGTATTACATAAACCCTAATCCCGACTTGTTCGGCTGCAAAACCATAAAAACCAAAGTCACGTGATAATTTTTGGGCGAACGAATTAGTAAGAGCCAATTTTAGCTTATAGTTATGGCTCTTACTAAATCGCTCGCCCAAAAATTTCACGTGACTTTGGTTTTTTTTGGTTTTGCAGCCGTACAAAACGGTTTTACATAAACCCTAATCCCAACCCTAACCCTAATCATAACCCCGAAGCTATCCATAATCTTAACCACAACCCTAACCCTAACCCGAGCCCTAAATAATCGAATTCACGTTTTACCAGCCTGTCACGTGACCAAAACGGTTTTTTGCCCATAACTCTCCAGGGAAGCATTTTAACCCTACGTCATGGGGGGTGATTCGGAATCAGCGTCCACAAATACACCGATCTAGATCACTTTCATGCCTAAAGGGCCTTTTCACAAGAATTTTCTTAAAATTTGGGCGAGCGATTTAGTAGGAGCGTATAGTTATACACATTATATTGTAGAGTTATAATTGTATGTATGAATTACAAATCCGGTGAACGATTGTCATTGAGTATAAGCTACATTTGTTGCTTTGTTGGTACACGACGGATCAACTTCAGTCGTCAGTCTTGCCAGATTCTCCCTTACCTGGCCTGACACGCGCACAACGTATAACAACTTCAGTAGTAATCATACTTTCATAGTTTGTTCACGGAACACTTAATTTCATTGTATCAGAAATAATCAAGGATAAAAAATATCGTTATAAATAAAAAATAAAAAAAGTATAAAAAGTATAAAATATCCTAAAAGTAAAACTATAAAACTGGCATCGCAGATGAATCCTCAATTATATATAATATAACAAAGCAATGCAACTAATGATAATGGTTCCAAGTGGATAAATTACACAACAAAAATTTTAGACATGGAATTAGAAAATGTAAGCGATTCATAAAAATAAAATGGTGTCTATTTTATCATAGACCGAGTATTATACATATTGATATATGAGGGCAACTATTCAATACTTCGACGGTATGTAATAATATTACTGGTATTATGTGAGACACATATGTTATACGTGTATCATGAAATATATCACTCACGGAGATTGAGTAAATGCTTGTCCGCCGTGGCTAAACCAGTCGGCGGCGGTGTGGGCCGAAACCTACCGGCGGCAGCAGCGTAGTCGTACGCTGGCGTGAGATCGACTCTATAAAAAGACACAAATTTGGTCTATTATCGTGCTTTTTCCCCGACAATTCAACTTAAATTTGAGCTGTGCACAAATTTGATTATAATTTGATTTATTTATTTATTTTATTTTTCAATCTGAAATCGAATTTTGAATGAAACTTTCAAATGATCATATTACGGAAAAATTCGATTTTACATAAGTCACACGTACGCCACGCCGTCGTACGCCGGGTTGGTACCGGCGGCGTGGCCAAATTTGCCGGCGGCGGCTGCGGATAAGCCTGGTATGTTGTACGCAGATAACAGGTTATGTGAATACATTCAGGAAATCCAAGCTGGACCAGGCTTTTAAAATGACCGGAATACCCAAATACTGCAAGATCCAAATTAAGGATCCTAACGGCGTATTATTAAAGACCGCGTTCTTTCAGACTATATCCTTTTTGTATTACAAAAACAATGCCGTTGATGTCTTCGATAAATGTAGGTAATAACTAACAAGGTGGCCATGGAAGAAAAGAGACCAGAATGGTCCGCCAAATTTAAGGAGTGGTTGATAAGAAGTGTTGAACTCAGCTATGAGTCGTCTATAGGCAAATTTAACGGAGAGTGGTACAGACAAAAACGAGGAGTACCGACAGGAGGCAGTATCTGTGTACAACTTGCAAACATAGCAGTATACCATGTCATGCGTGAGCAAGTCTATTCAGACACGGAACTAATGGAACCTGTAAAATCGGTCAAGAGATACATAGACGACGGCTGTGGAGTATCCCATGGTACGAAAAGACAGTTTTCAAAATTCATCGCGACTGTCAATACAAGGCTAGCAGAACTTGGCCTCCACATTGATGAGAACATCATAGAAGATAACAATGTTTATGTGGCGTTCTTAGACATAAAATTTTGTTTCGACACCGCAGGTGATCTTCAGACAGACCTCCATGTTAAAGAGACTGATGCTCGCTCTTACCTGTACTTCGGTTCCCACCACCCGAACCATACATTCAGCAGCATAGTCTATAGTGCATGCCTGAGACTCCGGCGAATCATCAATGATAACGACAGACTCCGAAAACAAATTGATGAATTAAAAACCTTTTTCTTCCAATCCAACTACCCTAAAACTATGGTAGATAACATCAGTGAAAAAGTCAAAGGCTTTGAAAGATGCCTCAAACCACTGGACAACTCAAACAGCAGTGTCCTGGTCCCAAAGTCTCCAGAACCAGCAGTCCGCGTTATTTCAACATTTGGCAGCGATCAAGAGTTAGTGGAATCGGTAAAAAGATTGAAACAGAACTCAGTAGAACCAGGAGCTTCTCAGGATTATCTGGTTCCCATACAAGTGGAAACACCCCAGGCTCCCCAATATCATCTAGAGCCGGTACATCACGCCCTATCTTCAAATTCGTCAGACGTACTGGAACATCATTTAGAAGGAAGTTAGTCAAAGCAAAACAGTTTGCGGATGACTTAACCCAACCTCACACAAGACCATGTGGGGGCAGACACTGCGGTACCTGTAACATCATATCTCCACATCCATCAATAACAGTCAATGGACAGCGAGCCAAAGCAGTGTCTGGTACATGTGTCAGCTACAATGTTGTATACATCTTCAGTTGCCAACTTTGTAATATGTGCTATGTAGGAAGAACGGTGCAGCCCCTAAGGGCACGAGTAAACGAACATCGCGCCCATTACTACAAACTCATTTCGGACAATACGTTTGTCCCTGAAGAAAACGACGACGGATTCAGCTTGGGTAAACACCTTGTAGAAGTTCATAACATGAAACAACGTGACAATTTCAACCAGGCTTATAAAGTGTCAATTCTCAGTAATAGTAGCCCAAGAACTCTAGAAGTGGATGAACACCGTTATATTCAGAAACTAAGAACTATACGTCCATTGGGGCTCAATGCCGTGGACCCGTTTGGGATTCCATTATTGGATTTATCTTAAAGGTTTTCCATTGCATTGGGGCACAAAAGTTATGTTTTTAAAAATATTCATAGGTATCGTTTTTAGTTGTGTCATTTCATTTCCAATGTTACACTTTGTAGGAACTGATATTAACCGAGTTTCTGATTCAGGATGTTACTGAAGATAGTAATGAAAATGTTTTAACACCTCAGTACTGTGTTTTACTACAGCTCAACCTGCTCAGTCTGACTATTTGGGAATTTAAACTCTTAATAACTAACACATTAGATCGTAGGGAAGGTGTAAGTTTGTTCTGATAAGTAATTAGTGTAATTAGCGTAATTAGTGTAATTAGTTTGTTTTGATACGTAACTGCAGAGTTCTGAGATTAAAATATCAGGTTGTAACATTTTGCAGTCAAATCCCAAATCTCCTTTATAGCGGAATTTGCATTTTTAATCATCAATCCTCATACTGTCTCCATGTTATTAAAATAACTTAATAAGTACCCTTCAAATTATTAAGTTGATTGGATGTATGGTTAAGTTTGAAGGATCCAAAGCTACACCCAGTACTAGTAGCGAATCATGGTAAAAATCCTACGACATTTTGAGAGTTCAATTTTGTGAGTACCTGTGAGAAAAAGGCCTCAAAAGTGCTGTGTTTATAATTGAAATGTTCCGCGCATTTAATTGTAAATAAACTCATTATAAGATTAAGTGTGATGTGTAGATAAAACTTTCCTTCATTTTTGCATTATTAATATTTCATTTTTATGATTTGCCGCGCAACGTTTAAAAATAAGTTGATATGCCATCCTGATCCATTTTATTTGTTGTGATTAATCGCATTTGACTTAATTTTCAGGAGTCATATCACTGGGGTTTTTTATTTAAAATTATGTATATAATTATGTATGTAATAAATCAGTCCATTAGAGGCACTCCCCTAATACAAGGGGCTGCGCTAGTTATATAGCTTCCCATCAATCTTTACAGAATTCACTTTGTGATACTGATATGGGTTAATTCCTGGGATTCGTCTGAATTAGATTTTAAAAGTCGTTTTCAAAAATTAAAGTTAATCTTCCTTTGATCCATCTAGGGGTGAATATAATTATAAAGACATAATGTAGAATATTAATTATTAATAATCAACTAGGAAATTCATAAAGAATCCATATATAACTATTATATAGGTTACGGATTCAGACGCGAGGGGATAGCATGATGTTCAGGCTTATCCGCCGTGGCTAAACCAGTCGGCCGCGGCGTAGGCCCGAAACCGTCGTCAGTCGTACGCCGGGGATGGTACTGGCGGTGTGCGGCGTGGTCAAATTGACCGACGGCGGCTGTGGACAAGCCTGATGATGTTACAACGATAAAAGTGGGAGTGGCTATGAGATATTACGAGGATTGGGGCTGCCAATGGTGGCTTGATGATGATTTTTAGAAGAAACTCGAATGAAAAGTAAAACCGAATAAAATTAAAAAGAAGAATACAATTCACTTCCTAACACGATGTTTCGTATTTTGATTCCTAAATTCGCAATTCCTTGCTTTAATTTCGATGATCACGTACATTTACAAGCGAATATTTCATTCTCACTTCTTTGTCGTATACTCACCCTCTCAACGGTCTCAGATTCAATTAGAAATAGGGAAACACCGTATTTTCACTATTTATATAATTTTTAACAGTAATCTGCAATCTGCATGGTACCACAGTTACCCAGAAAAGTGGTAGAGAATAGTAATTCTCCCTCTTAAGTCGTAACGACATAAAATGACAAAGGTGACGATTCATTTTGCTGGCTCTATTTCAATTACAGCCGTTAAAACTTGAATATGCTATTCATTACAAATTACTCTAGATTTATATTCATATTATGATAATTGATAGCAGACTTGCTTTAAAATTAAATCAGTAACTGAGTGAACCAGACAAAACCCTATAGCGTTTGCTAAGGAGAACCAGCGGAAGAGGAGGCCAACTTCACACGTCAGCTATTTTATCACAACAATAACAACTACAGCTCAGTTGTACGGAAACTACATTTATTAATTCAAATATATCTTATGATAACGATCACAACATTGAAAAAGTACACAGTTAGCTCCCAAAGCTATAAATGGTAAAAACTGAACGAATATAAGAAACTTTGCTACAAAGCTTTAGCGATTGAAATAGATCAAGAACGATAATTCAGGAACAACAAAAACAATTCAATTTATCAAATTATTAATATGTACACGAATTTTTCCGTTCATCCCTAATAAGAAGTGAATCAACATTTTCAATCTTTATGCAATTGTATACTATTACTATCAGTATCATTAGCGTTGTAAAATGAAATATGAACAAAAAATAAATCCTCTTCGTGCATTTTACAGTCAACACTCAACAGTATCCATGTATACTCAAGGGCCCTTCTGCATTCGTCAAACTCAGGGGCCAATTTCATTTTACAACCCCTGTTGAAGGTTTTTTATTATTACTAATCTGAACTTTTTAGTTCCGTAATTTGATAACCTGGCAAGCTACCACATCTCTACTATTTACTTTGGTTATATATTTATAATAATATATTGCTAATCATACGTCATCAGTGAATCAGACATGTAAAGTGTAATGGTACCCAGCCAAAATTCTTATCATGAGCTGCAGTAGAGGGAATATTGCACAAACTGTAAGGCCGTAAGGGCTGTTCATAGAAGGGCCAATAGGGTATACTTATAGCGACATCTATCCAGAAAGACGCAGAAATTTATGAGAAATGAAAGAAATTTGTTGCAGAGCGCTGCGTCACTCAATATAAATATTATGATAATGAACATGAGAGATATTTTTAAATATGGGCTGCTTATAGTTATATACCATTACCATCTATATACTTATATATTTGATCAAATTCGGGCAAGGCGCAAACTATACTAGTATCAAGCGTAGTTATAATATTAACAACACAAATAATTATAAAGCAAACGCAGTAACAAATGGTTGCACGTGACGCGGACGGTGAATGTTATAAAAGTTAGGAGGGAATCCGGAATATTCAATATAGTAGTGATTTTTAAATTCCTTCGTAGCTTTAAGTTCCTTAATAGTTGTAATGTCGGGGAGGAGTGGTCCAGAGACAAACATGCTAATATAATCATTGTAACTTTCTCAACAGGATGAAAGAAAATTATGGCATAATATTCAGGCAATACATACTGTATTTAGGCAATACATACTGTATTCAGGCAATAAATATTGTATTTGTATTCAGGCAATACATATTGTATTATTTTATTCAAATATCAAAATGAATGCCTTGTCCTGGGTTCATGTCTAGACGTGTTCAAGGACAACCCAAATCGTGAATATATCGCAGTTTCCCGCTTGTTAATTGTTATACTTATGGCTTATTAGATTTAGTGGACTTAGCAGACAACTCGCCGGGACTGCATCTGCATCTAGAAAAACATCTTATAATTGTTCAATTTACAAAATAACATACTTCAGATCACTTTAAACCTTACAAAGATTACGCTAAATTTGACTGACTGTTATACCAATATAATTCGAACGATGCACAGTACAAACTGCAAACAGGGTACTCAATTTTCAACCGTAATACTGCTGTGGTTCACTGATTCAGACCGTTACCTGGGGACCCCAGGCTGCAATGATCATAAACAATTATACTTATAGAGATTCAGCGGCCGGAATAACAGGCTGAGCGCCGCCCAGTAATTCCAAATTCAAACCGTTAATTTATATTCTGATATCCTTACCAAAAGTGATTTAAAGCGATTCAGTTCGTTTTACTCTCATTGACCACAATTATATTTGCAACGATAGAATTATTTAAACCGTTGACCAGTTAATTTTTAAACAGAAAACTCGTCAGGCTTATATGTCTTTCTGTATTAGCAGTTAGCACAGTTATCATCTTATGTATCATCTCATTATTTTCATATTCATGCTCCAGGGCCAGCGTTGCTTTCATAATCCGTATTAGATTTTAAAATTTCTCCAGCAGTTTAAAATGCAGTTCATTGCATTATCTTCTAACACGAAGAGAGTCCAGTCCAGGGGCTTCCGGCTGGGAAAATGCATTCTTTACGATTCGTCTTTCACTTTAAAAATATACTCGAACTCTTATTTGTAATCAGTTATGGAACCCTAACAATTAACATGTAGAACTAGAAGGCTTCGAGTTCGTTGGCGGTAGATATAATTTATCACGTACTTATTATGGAACTGGAAGAGTCAGAACCCTCGAAAACGCATATTTACAATTCAGTATTGGACCATTCTCTATTTCTACGTCAATTTTGATTCAACTTCGAGGAGTGTAACTGTAATGCACATAACATATTGTCGTGAGAACTCACTGACCAGATTAATAAGATTAAAAACGAAGAACGTAAATAAAACGTGAATTAAACAAGACCCTTATGATAAGAATAGAAGTTATACATATATTTTAACACTGAAATTTAAAAATGCTCCATGGTGTTCGAAAGGCCGCAAATTGATGATTTGGTAGACAATAATACTCAACAAATTGTTGATAGAATTTCTCATTTGCAGATCATGGATATTATGGTCAATGGTCATGCTTGAAGGTACTGAAAAAATGCTAAAATGTTGCTCGTTTGTCGTCAGAAGCATATACATGCAATATATTCATAGACTGCAATTCTAATATGAAATTGATTGTTGACTAATTACCCGCCCAAAATATCGATAATGAGACCAGCCATGATCAGATCGTACTACGATCAGTAACGACACAATTCTGATGATACTGCGAGTTTTAACTATACAGTCGGACATTAACTCCTTATAAACTGCGATACATGGCTCTTTTCAACATAGATGACACGTATAATTCATTCATCTATGTTGGACTAACAAAACCTAAAACAAAATGCGAATATAACGGACCTAAATTTAACGGACCCCTGCATGGACTCCAGGATCTATAATATTCATAAAAATAAAAGAGATTCATGTTTCGTGTATGAGGGGCTATAGCTAAAGAGCCACAGAACTAATTGAATTACCGCTAACCGTACCGATAGCTCAAAAGCAGTTATTCAGAATGAAGAATATGATGGCGTGGATAATTATACAGTCTCTTCATTTAATCAGTATAGTTTATATTGTCTGGTCACGTCCCGTGTAGCACGTCCAGTCTGAGTCTGTACCGTCCACAAGGATCCCTCGGCATATTTTGCAAACTCAGTTATGTCAAAATTGAAATATATTCAATATTCATGCGGATATCCACATACAGCGCGGTGTCTCAAAAGGCCCCCAAGTAACTTTTGTTGATAGCTCGTCTCAAATTTGACTGTACGCTTGAAACTTCTCGAATCTCGAATGATGTGGTATGATCATGCTCCAGAATATATTTATATCCTGTATATCTTCGTTAGTCTTATATTAATAAGATCAGAGTGTTGATCGTTCAGTGTTTGGTAACGATTTAAGATTCTACGGATATCATTAGATGAAAATTCATACTTCCCGACATTTTTTATGTGACGGTGATCACGCTGTGACTATATGAATATCGCCTCATCGCCTAAAACGGAATGTCTGCACTCCTAAAAGTCGTGAGATCTGCTATTATCTTGGTCCTCTCGTTCAATCTTATAACATGGGTTATTGATGTGTATTGTGTCAAAATTAACATGACATTGTTGACATCATGACACTGTATCTAGGCACGAGGCAATTAACGTTTTTGGTATCAATTTTAAAACGTATCATTTCTGAGCTAGACAAAATGAAAATATGCTTAATCTAATTTAACTATTCCCCTATTTCAACCTGCTGGATGCAGTTTAAATCGGTACCAATAGCATGAGTTTGACGAGTAAAATGCTAATACCGGGACAAACGGCTGTAAAATCAAATGGACATATAACATTTTGAGAGCAAATTGCCAGTCAAAATTTGAAAAAAGAGACATTTGTCCCTTCGTTGAATGGTCTTGTGGTTCGGTACTTCCGGTTTTTATTCTCAAAACTGTTATTAATACCGATCTCAATCGTTCAAAAACTGGATATCCGGCTTCAGTAAGGGAATATGTAGCTAAAATACCCAATTTGGTTGCACATTTTTTTTACCCATTGTACATCATTGCCAAGCTGAGGGTAATAATTTTTGTTCAACCTGTTTTCAAATTGAATTCCAAGGTCAATACGAACTTATAGAATTAGTTTTAAAGAAAACTTTAAAGAAAACTTAAAGAGTACAATTTTTCAATTTTTTGAATAGGCTTATATTAGTGATGAAAATATTCTTATGAAGGTAACAAGATAACGTAATGTCGATTCGTGATTTATTTATTTAGAACATTGTCATCACTGACTCTATTCGGAGAAATAGTGATGACAATTTCTCAATAAGTCAATAGTACTACACAACTTAGTCAGAATAATATGAAATATATATCAAACAATACATAACCTAGCAGTACGGCTACCCATCACGTAAGCATACCTTGTTAACCTATGGTTTACACATGGAATATTGTTCTTAGTTATCACTATCATTTAAGATTCCCTCTATGCATGCTGCAACTGTAAAATCAGCCAATCTAAATTGCTAATGTCGTAACTCAAGTTGAAATATTCATTCAGTTACAATTAATTAGTAAAAATTAATTAATTATACTTTCTTCGATGCGACTGCTTGCATTGGCACAGCCATAGGGTTGGCCCACACGGCCCCGTCATCCTTTGCCTCGACTTTGCTCCTGTGCAGAATAAATCGTTATAATATGTATAATAATTAGAAAGCAAATTCTAATCATGAGGCATGATACTTGATATTAAAGTTTATAAAGATCTGATAATGATTCAATCATTTTTTGCCTGGATTATTACTTCGAATTAACCGAAAGCTTTTAACTAAAATCTGCTGAAATTTAAAATATGATTTGAAACTGAATTGTTAATGATAAAAAATCACGGATATTAAGTACAAAGAAATAATGAGCTTGTTTCATTTTTACCCTATTTTCAGTAAAATAAGTTACCTTGGATCACTACCGAGGTCGTGGATATCCCAGAAGTCGTGATCAATAAGCATGTCCTTCTTACCGACAGTTGGACAGCAGGGCTGGTTCATCAGGAAACCTGTTAGATGTTTCTATCAGACAAAACTTCACAAATCATATTGTTATCCCTGAATTTACCATATATCATTAATTGTGGGGCGGTTTTATGTTGATATGGGTAAAAGTTTGTTTTTCTAAAGTTTGAATTTTATCTTAGGTTATTGTTGAGGTTAGGATTATGGGTCTCTTTTAGTCTTTCTTAGTCTTTAGAATTAGAAAGTCGTGAAATATAGAGTTGGGTGGTAAAAATGGGTACACACCCAGCACTAGTTGTTATTGCTTGCACGTATAAGACTGATGGTCCATGGTCACGTGAGTACAACAGGTATGTTTAATCAGATCACAGATGATATAATGATAATCAGATGTTTACGATATCAACTCCCTAAACTTATCAATGTGCACCTGTAATGAGGCCGGAGCTGATAGAGATAGCCAGGGTACAGACGATAGCAAGGAGAATCCACCCAAACTGTTCACCTCGAGAACGGTCAGAGGCCGCTGAAAATATTATTATATCAGCCACAAGGCTCCTGTAAAAACCAAACTATAACCTGCATGAGTTTGTAAAAGTCTGTTCGACCTAATTCATCACTATAACATTACTCTCGTAATATCTCTTACCACTAGTAGTCCACGTAGTGTCGTAGGAGTACATGTAGTTGTGGTTATCAGCAAGACACGCGAAAGCAGCGCACACTCCGCCGAGGAGACCAGGAATACCATGTAACATCTGAACAGCTGTGGGGATACCAGGTTTAAAGGTTGGTAACAACGTGCTTTTGTACTCGATCATAAGTTACTGTGCAGTTGTATCACCATGCCTAATACATGGTTTAAATGTGCAAAATGAACTTATATCATTTTTGAGACGATCACATTAGAGTGTAGTACTAGTCGTATAAAATGGTGTAAGTTGTTAGGTGACTTACATTAGAGTGTAGTCATATAAAATGGTGTAAGTTGTTGGTGACTTACCAGCGCTGTCAGTGACTCCTAATTCCTCCAGGAAGTGATGGTACCAAGCGTATCCTCCAGCACTGACTACACCAGCAAGACCTCCTGAGAGGGCAAGAATGTGTTATCAATATTTCAGTAAACTTTTTCAAGAAAAATTATCTGTGAAATATAAATATCACATCACATAAGATTTACCTCCTTTTATTTTCACATCTTCATCACTGAGTCTAATCACTTAATCAGCTACAATGAGAAATTGTTTTGTTAGAATCACCAAATGAGACTCAGTGAGACGACTTAATCAGATTAGCAACTTCTTAGTATCGGACATACCTTTGTTTAACACATTTCGGCGCAAACATTTAAGAAAAATGATCTACCCCTAAATTCGATTTGGTCTGTGGAGTTGGAGTACCCTGCAATATCTTTTAGCTTGTCTTTATGTGAGTCACAAAATTAAATAACTTAAGCAATTTTACACAAATTTCTTACCAATCAGGACAGCGGTCCAAGGCTCAATATCGAAGGGACAGATCATTCCAATCATTACTCCTCCTGCTAAGGTCGCATTCTGGATCTCAATCTGAGAATTTGGATAGGTGTTTAAGAATTCTGACACTACGAAAATAAAGTAAAGCTTGGGTGATTTCTGAGGTTTTGGGGATATCTATACCTGTGGTGATTTAGAAAATCAAATTAAATATCATGGTTGTTAAGGTATAAATCTCAGCCATCAATAAAATATTAATTGCCCTTACCATCTCCATCTTTCCTCTGTGCCATAAAACAGAAGTGGGGAAGGCAGCGGCACAGCTAGCACAGATAGCAAGGTACGTGTTCATTACAATTCGTCCTTGTAGGGTCACATCGTTGTAGAAAGTAGCTCCTGATTTGAAGAAACTGGTCAAGATCCCACCGTTCCAGTGTTAATTATTATGTTATAATTATAGTGTTTATGATGAATACTAGTAATAAGTAATAAATATCGATGCTAATAACAGGTTGAATCTTTTTCAATGATCAGTCACCTACTCACCGTTAAAGCTAGGCCAGTACATCCAGAGAACCACGGTTCCTATCATTGCACCCATGTCACTGAAAAATTAGAAATTAGAAATAAATCTTAAAAATTAAAGTGGCTAAGGGGCCATCTACTTAGGACGTCCGGCAAATAGGGAGGGGGGATGGTTTTGGAATTTCGGACAAATCCGGACAGGGGGAGGTGGGGTGGTTTCTGAAAATCCGGACGTCCGGAAATTTTGGCAGAATTAACGAAAAAGTTTCATTTATTTTAACTTTTTGAATTTTGCTTCAACTCTTTGAATTTTATTAACAATGAATTTGAGTTGGTTTTATTTGTACTCTTAAAAGTAGCTGGAAATCTGGACGTCCGGGGGAGGGGGTAGGTGGTTTTGAAAATTCGGACACACCCGGACAAGGGGAGGGGGTGGTATGAAAATCTGTGATTTTGGCGGACGTCCTAAGTAGATGGCCCCTAATGAAAAGGTATGCCGAAGGCAAACATTTGATCTAATCAGCTTGTCCAGTTCCACAGCTAATATACATAGTTTCTATCAATGGGTAATGAAATTTAGCTCTGTAAAGATATCCACCTGAAGTATGTAGTATTCCGGTGCTCAGAAGGTATTTGTTTGGCTTTGACCCCCATACCAAACGCCACAGCAATTCCAAAGTAGGCTCCGAAAGCGTGGACTACCAAGCTACCTCCAGCATCTTTCACGTGCATATTCTTCAACACTGGAAGTTAAAGTTTATGTTAGGTTTTACATTCAGCGGTAATCCATTTTTGCCGGTACAATAAATCTATTAGGAAAGCTAAACCTGATTATAGTTATACAGTTACACTCATATTTAGTCGAGCTATATTTATTTACTAACCGACGTGTTCGTTGATCAACATCATGAAGGGTTCTATGAAACACAACAGGATTATCTGAGCTGGAGAAGTGAACCCGTATATTGCACCGAATGAAATAAGGATTGCAGCAGTAATATAACAACCCGTCACCTGACGTTAAGAACATTTTAGGTTTGATTAGAAGTGGATTGAAAAGGGTTCAATCTCGTTGAAAATAAATGTTAGACAAAAGTTGTGTAATGCACGAACCATTTCTGTGAGGTTGAGTTTGGTTTTGACCCAGTCGCCTGTCCAAATAGCGTTAACAATGGTCTTGGCCACGTTTACCCAAAGAAAAGAGAAACCACAGATGAAATAGTTGAGGCCAACTCCGCCCCAAACGTAGTATTTACTGAAATTAAGTTTAATTTTGATGTTCGACTGCTGTTCGAAGCATACAGAGAGCTCAGAAAGCTTTTCTTTGTCAGTAAAATGCATATCACGCTGTACCACACTTTTGACAGACTACAACTTCAAACTGAAGGAACTGTCTAAACCAGTCAGTCACATGACATGAGACAGCATACCTGAACGTGTAGAGCATACCGAAACCCAGAACACACATAGCAGCAGCGTCCATGTACATAGCATAGCCCACATTTCCACTGTCCCATGTATTAGCCACCACAGTTCGTATGTGATTATCTCCCACTTTTGTCACAGTATCCACTCCTGAGAGTTAATGTTAATAGTTCAAAATCTTCGCCATGGTGACATGATTAGATTAGATCCTCTAAAATGAACATTTAGTTGCACTAGCAATAAGCAATAAGCATGTGGACTAAAGAATTACAAACGTGGAAACCATGTTAAACCTACCAAATTCAGGATCCCACTCAGTACAGACTGCAAAGAGAACCACAACCAGGATGAAGATAGGATAGCACCACAAGGGGAACCCGTATGTTTCCATCATCCCCGCCGTGTTATCCTTGTCGATAGCAGCTACATCGACTCCACTACGTCGACCCTTTCCACCCGCCGTCATTCTTAAATCTGGGCTCTGGCTATACTAGACCTGGTTGAGATGTTGTCAACCAATGTTTTTTAGGGGAAAACGTCATTATTCTGCTTTAAAAAAGCTAAGAGTCTAAATGTTCAAGATCAGCAAATTGTTATAATGAGTCGCACGATATCTGAACCAAATTAGGAGAACAAGGAGACAACAACAAACAAGGAGAACAAGGATAATAAGAATCTGAGAATGTTCCAAGTGTAAGTTGATTGGACCTCTCCAATCAATGTGCGTGTGATACACACGCTTCATTTATCTTATAACTGGTATTTGAGGAATTCCTTTCACATCTTGCCCCGCCAAGTGTAATCAAATATTGCTGAACCACGAAGCTTATAGTTCAAACTTCAAAATCAGGAAATTCAGAGAGTTATAGGTGAGGTGGCCCAGAAAATATTTAAAAATTTTTCTTCAAGTATCATATTTGTTAAAACATTATTTGCTCATTAAAATTTCAAATTTGGTATAATATTCAGTTTTTTAATTAATTAATATACGGCGGTTCCCTCATAAATCATAATTTCCACTCATGACAAGACAGAAGATAAACCAACTACTAAAATTAGAGTGAGAATTTGTCATGAAATACAAGGTGTTGGGTGCACCCTGATATTTAATGATAGATTTAATGTGCAAGCACAGTAAACATTTGTTGTTTAGGCGATAAAGTGTGAATAATGATTGAAATTACAAATGATGGTTCTGATTTATATATAACTTTACTCATATTCAGTTTTTTGCTGCAGTTTGGGGAGGGAATTCATCAATATGTAATAGATTAGAATTAAACTTTGCCTATGAATAAATAAATAAGTAATCGAGAAGGTAGAACATGGGCTCTTCGGGGTTTTAAAGAAAATCTGCCTTAATCCGATAGACCGGAATTCCACGCAAACACACACAGGGACACGGAAACTATTACTGAAGTGGAGTGAAATGAATCAGATATTTGGGTGTTTGGGTGAAACCTAATTAATGTGCTGCCCTTGCTGCCACGTCACCTTACCAAACTGATCTGCCTGGAATTTTGGACTTTGTAGGAAAATCTAATTATATCCTTGATTGAATCATATCAGTAGTAAGAGTGGAATTATGAGCGTATAATTTGTTGGATATGTTCACATTCTTAAATTATCAGTTACATGACAGTTGATCATTGGCTACTCTCCATACAAAAGTCTTAGCACCTTGCCCCGTGGCTAGGGCCCAGTTACTGGTTTAGACTGTCTTTGGACCATAAATTGCTCTAACTATTGAAATTGATTCTTGACAAAAAAAGTCTATCGCAGGGCAATACTTATAACCCTCGAAAACGGGGTTTATAAGCATCTTATCAGATTCACATCGAACTAGCTGATTCATTTGAGATTGTTTATTTTTATAACATTAAAATAAGCACCAAACAAATATTTCAAACTCACAATCACAATAAAATTGGCTACCGTATCACATCGAACTAACAGTAACACATGAACTTAAAGTGTTATTAGATTAACAAGCAGACAACACGCTTCACAACAACTTCCAGCAGATAGTAATTCCTAGATAATTTCATCTGCAGGTGCGAATAGTAACTTAGACTTCATGGCTTCAGCAGAACACAGCTAGATAACCATGGCTAGCGTACCAGATCCTTCTTAGTTGGTGTTTGTCGCCATAGCAGTTATATTATCTTATGATAGAAACCTAATCGTTCACGGTAAAGAATCGTTCACATGTGACGTATTATTATAGTGAGCGTGATTTTTCCATATTAGACCTCCTCCCCCATAAACACTTTAAATTACACGTTTCCAACAGTTGAACAGTGGGCTACCATTTGTTGATTTGTAGGCTAGAGTAGTAGGCTGCAATCGATGACGGTAAAAACGAACTTAGAAACTGAGCCCTCAAAAACCTCCCGCGGCTAGTGGCAAACCCGAGTCCCGAGTCGGTTAAAAGAACGCACCCTCCAAAAATGTATGGTTCGTCGTTTTGGTCCTTTCCACCCGCTAATTCGATCATAGCATGTTACTAAACCAAACAAACTATTTCAGAACTCCGAAGTCCGACTCATGCATATCTTAGAATTTTATTAAGCTGCATACCTCAGCTTGGTGAATGATTTTCAGCGAAGATTCAAGCAATAAACAATTGTCAGTATTGTCCCCGAAAGATGATTTAAATTGGGTTTCGCAAACAGTAAAACTTTCAATTGTAAAATTGGGATTCTAACGCAATTTTTGGCCCGGAAAGTGGCACCTTACATTTTACAACGACCATGAGTAAGAAGGTCTATTCGAATTTCAAAAGTCTCATTGACGATCATGAGATTTGTATCTGAACAGACGTGATTTCTATTACTACGATATCCTGCAAAAAACATTAAAATTTAAATCGTACAACTGTAACGATCAGTTGCTCGTAAAACTTGCTCAAACATGTGAAGCGTTCTAGCTCCTCGAAAGTTGTTTATTTCTTTTGTTCACCCGCCAAAATGAGTGCTTCATGAGCTTTTACCGCAGTTAGAACAATGCAATGGAAATTTTTCAAATTCCATTTATAATACTGAATGTAGTTCACATTCTGGTCTCGTTGGCCTAATTTATTATTCTTCTCTTGTCTAAATCACTAGGTGAGAGAAAATTGATAATTATCAGCGGTCCCTGGATCGAAATAGGTAGTATAAGCTCTCCCCCTACCCCCTCTTTCTATCTCTCTCTCTCTCTCTCTCTCTCTCTCTCTCTCTCTCTCTCTCTCTCTCTCTCTCTCTCTCTCTCTCTCTCTCTCTCTCTCTCTCTCTCTCTCTCTCTCTCTCTCTCTCTCTCTCTCTCTCTCTCTCTCTCTCTCTCTCTCTCTCTCTCTCTCTCTCTCTCTCTCTCTCTCTCTCTCTCTCTCTCTCTCTCTCTCTCTCTCTCTCTCTCTCTCTCTCTCTCTCTCTCTCTCTCTCTCTCTCTCTCTCTCTCTCTCTCTTTCTGCTACGGTAGACGGTCGTTGGCCTCGGTAAGCGGAAAGACCTCTCGCTGGGCAACTCCCGCAGTTAGGAGCATACACTGCACTGAAATCCTAACCCTAACAAGAAATTATACCAACTTCCTTAAATGGTCATATCAGGTGATCGAGACAGTTTTCGCCAATATCTTGCCAGGGCCCAGGGGAGCATTTTGACCCTATGTCATGGGGTGATTCGGAAACAGCGTCCGAAAATACATCCATTCAAATTGGTCTTAACTGTCGGGGGCCCTTCGAGAAAAATCTCGAAGATCAAGTGTGAAGTGTAAACAATAAAGTGATTTAGCACGCTCGCATTAAGAAAACAATGATACAACAATTTTTAAAATCCGAGCAAGTTTAATTTTATATCGTGCACAGCTCCAACATAACATGAATAACAATTTAACAATATATATATAACAATATAATATAATAATAGGTAGTAGATTTTCATTCAGCATTATATATTATTTTATTGGGTTACTCATTGTTATTATTGTTGAACATGGAACCGCGTAGTCCGCACACGATTAGTTGATAAGCCTGTTTGACTCGTATCGGTATCAAATGTTTAACATTCGGTATCAAATGTTTAACATTCGATCTTTTCTAAGGTTTATACATAATAATGGCTGCAGTTAGTCATGGTTAAGTACTATTATATAACTTTTCAAGAGTTGATTAATCGTGAGATCGAGGTGATGATCCACATTAATCGTTAGTAGAAGGGCTTCATATAATAAACTTAGTCGAAATTTAAAAAGGCAGGATATTTAATAAGGAAGAAACTTGTTATCCGTGAAATCAAAGGCTTTTAGAAGCTAGTTTCTCAATTATTTGCTAAGTTATTCCCAGTAATCACTAATCGGTAATGTGGAACTTCCGCGCTAGACATTTGTCGCTTTTTTATTCGTTGACGATAATTTTATCTGTATGAAATATTGCATAACACATTATTCCGGACGAATAAACACCTCACATAGGACAAGCATCAATTAAATACACTTATGAGTATCATTCAGAGCCCACAGGTACAAGCCGGATAACATCCACAAAGATAGAATACTAAATACATACATTTTTAATTCTATAAAAGTTGTTTTATATTGCTATTGCAATCAAATTAACTGAATACTGAATACTGAATACTGAATACTGAATACTGAATACTGAATACTGAATACTGAATACTGAATACTGAATACTGAATACTGAATACTGAATACTGAATACTGAATACTGAATACTGAATACTGAATACTGAATACTGAATACTAAATACTGAATACTGAATACTAAATACTGAATACTGAATACTGATTACTGAATACTGAGTACTGAATACTGAATACTGAATACTGAATACTGAATACTGAATACTGAATACTGAATACTGAATACTGAATACTGAATACTGAATACTGAATACTAAATACTGAATACTGAATACTGATTACTGAATACTGAGTACTGAATACTGAATACTGAATACTGAATACTGAATACTGAATACTGAATACTGAATACTGAATACTGAATACTGAATACTGAATACTGAATACTGAATACTGAATACTGAATACTGAATACTGAATACTGAATACTGAATACTGAATACTGAATACTGAATACTGAATACTGAATACCGAATACTGAATACTGAATACCGAATACTGAATACTGAATACTGAATACTGAATACTGAATACTGAATACTGAATACTGAATTCATCAATTATAGTTTACTAAATATCGTGCCCAAAAATTGAGGCTACAGTAAACAAATATTCGATCTTGCTAGAGTATGTTGAGTAGAAAGAACAGATATCGTGAAGTTGGGTATGGCAAGTCCTTCGCCTCTTAGCGGGTGTCTTACCAACACTCAACCTGTCGATATAAAAGTCAGTAATGACCTGCTGCTCTTTAATAAAGGTCCTGCGTCGCCTAAACGCCGTACTCAATCGGAGAGAAGTGTCGGAGAGGGAGAGATAACACATTATTCGTGGGAAGTTTGTGCTTGCAGCACCGCCAGGCAGATGTGAGGGTTGAATCCTTGACCTTCCTCCGATCACAGTAGATGTATCCATTAGAGTCAAGTAGATGTTGAGATCCTGTCCGACCAGAGAATTGATTG